TCTTGTTTTAAGCCCTGTCAGGTGTCAAAGGAATTTCATCCATCTTTGCTTTCTGTAAAAGTTTGAAACCACATTCTTCCCTGATATTCGTCATATACCTATGAAGTCAGTGATTGTTTTTCTTCGGGAGCTGACATCTTACATGCTACGTTTCTGGGCCACATACATAATAGGTCATTTCTCTTTGTAATCCAGAACACTATGGTGTTCATCCAGTAAAATCTTTAATGCCTCTGTTGATCTACATCATTCTTTTTGTGGATACTGACTTTTTTTGAGCTTTAAAAAAAACTTAATGTTGTATTTTAATTCCTTGTAACTAGGACCTTTTTACAGTTCCCTATCAGAGGATGTCTTCCAGATCTAGCAGATGAAAATATGCCGTTCATGTTTCTTCTACACCTTTATCCTTTTCTTACCAAAATGCTCCTCTGCAGTCCTAATATCTTATTCTTTTTTGAAGTGGAAGACAATAAACATGAACTTAATATCATAGCAATGACTCTGTTCCTTTGTGCCATGAACTACAGTGATCATAAATATGATTCTAAAATGCTTGAGAAGTAACTCAAAGTCTACCATGAGTTAGCAGTGTATCCTGTTGCTTGGTATCATTTCGGTCAAAACTATCAGGATGGTGTTGTCCTTGTTGTTGTCTTCATTGTTGTCCTTGTCGTCTTTGCTGTGGTGGTTTATGTTGCCATGTTTTCCCACAAGGGAACAGCAGCATCACCTTCACTGTCTTCCATCTTTAAAATGGGCGCATTGGGCCCAGGTAGGGAGGTAAACGTTTTATCTGTCTATACAAACAATATTCATCAGTTAATAGCACTCCTAGTATGATAGTGATGGTTACTGGGAGAGACTGCGAGGGCATTTCCTGTAACTGAGGAATTTGTCTGCAAATATAAAACTCCTATAAGGAAAAAAAAACTCCTGTTTCCCCTTTACACAATACTTACACCCAACACTTCTGTAACCAGATGTGTGGGGATTTTCCCACACCAGGCAGTTCTCCAGCTCTCACGTGGGTAGTCACTGAGTGGCCTATGATTCAACTAAATTCTCACACTACCTGGAGACGGCATCAACTCCCACAGGGTAAGGGCTCAGTCCCACAGGAGCCCCCCCACCCAACTTCAGATGTCAATCACAAGTCCCAGGTGGTCACCTGTGCTTCTGGCCGACCAGCTACACATCAGAGGTTCCCATGACACCCTCCTCAGGTTCAGTCATTTGTAGAATGATTCGAAGAACTCAGGAAAATAGTTTACTTATTTTATTGCAGGCTTATTATAAACGGATATAACTCAGGAACAGCCAGATGGAAGAGATGCCTAGGGCAAGTCATGAAGGAGGGAGTGTGGAGCTTCCGGCCCGTGTGGGTGCACCACCCTTCCCCGCGTCTCCACACCTTCACCAGCCAGAAGTTCTCTGAGCCCGCGTCCTTTGTGGATTTTTATGGAGACTCCTGTTACTTCGTTACTTCGGCATGGTGAATTAAATCATTGGCCATTAGTGATTAACTCTACGGCTTGCCCCCTCCCCTCCCTGGAGTTTTGACTTGGGCTTTAGTTTTTCAACTCTGTAATCATAAGGTTGTTACTTTGGCAACCGACTCCCATCCTAAGGGCAGTCCAGGAGCCCCCAGCCACCAGTTATCTTATTAGCATACAAAAAGACACTTATCTCTCCCTGAGGATTCCAAGGGCTGTAGAAGCTGTGTATCAGGAAATTGGGACAGAGGCCAAATATACATTTCCTATTGTAAATGACAGTATCACGCCTCCTCTTTCATTAGAGTAGCAGCCATCGTGAAGGCCCTGGGCTAGCATGGCTTACCTTCTAGTTACCTGCATGGATAATGAGGCTAACCGGTGAAGAAACAGGGAGTTATGGGAAACAGCCATTGATCTGGGAGGAGGACAGTCTGCTGTAAATGATTTGCTTTGGTTTCCTGATGAAGACGCTGCAGTTAAATTGTGTAACAGGTAGCTTTTAGACCCTGTGTTATGATGAGTGTTGAAGGGCCATGGAATCGTCTCTTGTCCTGTAAAACTTGCTCAGAAAATCACTGCCTGACCAGGGAGTGAAGAAACAACAACAACAATAAAAACTGATAGGAGCTTCATGTGGAGTGGAGAGCAACCCAGAGAACCTTGAGCAGAGCCACACTCTGGCGACCTCATCACCGTCATCCCCAGCGAGGAGCCGCGGCTGCCACAGCCGGCCCCGGGCACCAGGCCCAGCGTTGTGACCCTGAGCAGCCGTGCCACCACCCAACATGGCTCTGTGGGCAGGATGGAGGGAGTGAGGGCCCACCGGCAGGGACAAAAAGGGCATCGTGACAAAAGTGTCAAGAATGGTAAAATCGTTCAGTATCAGAAACAGGTCTGGTTTCATCCGCAGGAATGACATGAAGTGATACATACTTGTACATGAGACTGCCATAAAGATAAAGAAGCCCCAGGAAGCACCTTCCGGGCGCAGAGGGTGAAGAAACCATGGGGTTCGATGTTCTTGACGGAGAAAAGGGTGTGGAGGCAGCAAATGTAGAGAATGGGGGGAAAGGAAGAGGACGCCAGGCCTAGCCGCGCACACCTTACGCCATACAGAGACCCTCTGAGTGTTGACCAGGGTCTTCCAGGCCTCCTGTGTAGGGAGAAGCGAGAAGGGCGTTGAGAACCAGGGTACAGGAGAACAGGGTAGATGGGGACACACAGGATCCCTCAGGGTTATAGAGACTGCGATTCTCTGGGACAGCCATGAAGGGGAGCAGGAAACCTCAAGGAGGGACCCACGGCCAGCAGCCACCTCGGTGTAGGGACCTCCCCAACTCCAGTTAGCAGCACAGACACCCAGGAAACCCTGCCCCGAAAGCTGGCTGAGAGACCGCAGCTGGGAAGTCCATTCAGAGGCTGAGCAGGGGAGACTAAGTGCTGGCTTGCCATCTCCCATGTCATCCCGGTTAGTCACCCAACAAGAAAGGAGAAATGAGTATGAAATGGCAGCAGGAAGACCTGAACCAAAGATTGGTGCTGAAGGCCTCAAGTGCTTGCCCTGTGACCCGATGACCAGAACGATCTGCATTATGGGGTTTTGTTATTTGTTCGCTGAAGACAACATCTTTTTTTTTTTTTTTTTTTTTTTTTTCCCGATAACCAGAACTTTTTGCATTTTGGGTTTTTTTTTTTTGTTCGCTGAAGCTTTTTTTTTTTTTTTTTTTTTTTTTTTATGGTAGTGACCAACATGTTTTTCTTTAAAGGCTGGCTTTTTCTCCTACACCTTTAAAGGTTTTGAAACTGTTTTATATCTGGTTGAGACTGTTAAGAACCTTGTTTTTAATTTGTAATAAACTTTTATAATTTGATTTTTTCACGAAGGTCAACAAGCTGCAAGTATTAATGCAGATCTTTAATAATAACGATGATGATAGGGGCGCCTGGGTGGCTCAGTAGGTTAAGCCTCTGCCTTCAGCCCAGGTCATGATCTCAGGGTCCTGGGATCGAGCCCGACATCTGGCTGTATGCTCAAAGGGGAGTCTCCTTCCCCCCCACCCCGCCTGTCTCTCTGCCTACTTGTGATCTCTCTTTCTATCTCTCTCTGTCAAATAAATAAATAAAATCTTTTTAAAAAATGATGATGATAATAATAATGCAGTACTGACAAAGAGTTTGGCTTAAAGAACCATATTTTTCTAGGGGCGCCTGGGTGACTCAGTCTGTTAACAGCATCTGCCTTCAGCTTGGGTCATGATCCCAGCATCTTGAGATCTAGCCCCACATCAGTCTCCCCGCTCAGCCGAGAGCCTGCTTTTCCCTCTCCATCTGCCCACCCCCCCAAGCTTGTGCTCTCCCTCTATCTCAAATAAATAAATAAGACCTTTTTTTTTTTAAATCTGTTTTTCCAGATTTCACATATTGTTTGTTCTTCTACAATGTCTTGTGAGTTCTCATATGTCTTGGTGATAAGAGAGATTATAGAACATTATGCACAGAATATAGTAAATATAGAACTTTCTTTTTCTCATGGAACTTCCTCCATTAGTGGCAAAACGAGATGGGGAGCATGTTTACCATTCTGTCTTTTAATACCGCTAGCAAACAACAGAAGATAGAAGGAAGTCAGAAATCTTTTTCCTAAAAGAACCATAGAAAGTGTCTCATGGCAATTTATGTTTTCTTCACATATCACTCACTTTTACTGCAGCATGTGGGACTCCTGTTCAGGACCAAGGGAGCCACACTCCTTTGCTGTGGAATCCCATGCTTAGCAACAGGTTTGCTGGGGTTTTTTCCCCCCCTAATGGGAAACCCCACCTACGAATGGAATGAGACCTCAAGACTTGTAGCTCATTATTTTAGCTGTATCCTAGCCCACAGCTCCAAGAAGACAGCTCTACAGTCCTCAGATCGGGATCATAAAAATTTGCACTGTAGTGTGGAGCTCCCCGAGAGACAGAATTACTTCCTTCATGACACCCAGTAGTTGAAATGACCTAAACAAAAGCATTTCTTTTCTTTCTGTCTCCCCACCACCACCCCTTCCTCTGGTGTGTGGAAAAAGCAAGTTGCGTTTTTAGGAGCGAGAAATTCCTGTGGCCTGGTCCTTGCTGACAGATGGCCACAGGCCTGGCCTGAGAGCTGTTGTTGGTACAGATCAAAGCTTGGCAGTTCTGCTTTGTGCTGTCCTTGGCAAGAAAGGCTTTGCTTCTTATCATTCCATCTTCCTCCACCAGAAGCCCAAGAAACGAGAGACACTATCTCTTGGAGAAAATACTCAGTGCCACAATAACCAGGAAAGGTGCTGTCCAGCCTCATTCTCCTGGTGCAGGAGGGACTCATGCTGGACGATGTTAACCCTTTGGAGGGAGTGTGCAGCTGGCTCTAAGATGACCTTTGCGTTTCTTACTTGTTGCAAATCGACCGTGTCATTATGTTCTCTTTCTGTCCTTCCGTAGGCCTGATGGTGGTTTTTTTTTTTTTCCTGCATTGTTTCAGGGCTCATCGTTGGGGTGATCTTGAGGTACGGCACCCCTGCCACCAGCGGTCATGACAAGTCACTCAGCTGTACTCAGGAAGACAGGGCCTTCAGCACGTTATTAGTGAACGTCAGCGGGAAGTTCTTCGAATACACCCTGAAAGGAGAAATCAGCCCTGGCAAGATCAACAGTGTGGAGCAAAATGATATGCTGAGGAAGGTGAGCTGGGGCACACTCAGCCATTGGGGTCCTGACATGGTTTTTGACTTTCTGATTCCATGTCAGTGTCATGGAGAGAAATCCTTTCAAACTCCTGGAGCATGGGTAAATGTTCCCGGCTCCCAGTTTTGCTAGGAAGTTCTGGGGCTATGATGATGAGAAGAAAGAACCAGATGGAAACTTGAGCCTGTGAGCCTTGTTAGGATCAGGAGCTGATGTGGCCTGCCATGTTATGTAATGGGGTTTGTACATCACCACTCAGCCTGTCTCTCCACCCCCATCGCTCCTTTACTATGTCTCTTGCTATGGTTTAAGGATGGGGTTGTTTCTTTCTTAAAATAAGATGGGTTTCACTCTGGGCGCCTGAGTGGCTCGGTCAGTTAAGCATCTGCCTTTGGCTCAGGTCGTGATCCCAGGGTCCTGGGATTGAGTCCTGCATCGGGCTCCTTTCTCAGTGGGGAGTCTGCTTTTCCCTCTCCCTCTGCCTCTTCCCCCACTCCTGCTCTATTAGTCTTTCCCTCTCTCAAATAAATAAATTAAAATTTTAAAAAGATTGGTTTCACTTTAAGCTCATTTATTCAGTGTTCCCAATTGTAAGTCTTAGTTCTTCCTGGTTCTTTTGCCGTATTCTACAAATATTTATTTAGTGCCCATTCTCATGGGTGAGTGATGCCAAAGGCTTAATGAATCTTTGGAGGGGAATACCTTGTTGTCTTAGAATTTGAGTCCAGTAACTGTTTCTCATTTGATGTTGAGAGTAGCTAGAATACACAACAAAAGGATCATATATCTCTTCACTCAGGTGATTTCCAAGAGAAGCAAGATATCTGTATTTATCCACATATACTCTCTAACTGTATAGACCCAGGCTTATCAGCAGGGAGACTTCTGTCTAAGCTCTGGGCAGTCCAGGCCTTAGGGAGCCTCTTTCATAAAGAACAAGGCTAATGTGTGCAAAGGCTTGCGGTCAAAGGCAGGATGTAGCCTGTGCTCCACAAATTAAATTCTTATTGTTTTTAGGATCTACCCTAGTCCTTAAGAAAATTATTCTCAACCTGGAGCATTAAACATGTCCATCTTGTCTGTGTCCTTAAAGGCAGTCCTAGTGAACTCTTTGCCCTCAACCCCTCATAAGAATGCCTGGGATTTTCATAAACATCTGTGAAATTAAATGCCACCGAGAAAGATACTCAGTGTAATCACCATGCTCATGGCTGTTTTGAAATGGCAGCTTGAGTCTGTAGTGGATAGGATGGGGGAGAAAAGGGAAAAGAACCCAACCCATTTCCATCTTTTAGATCATAATAGAAGGTGATGTTGACTTTTGCTCCTGTTACCTTTAGGAAAACGTTGATTCACATCCGTTCTGTTTAAACTTTGGCTGCACGAATCAAAGGTGGGAGAGCATACAAGGCTGAGATGATTGTTGTTAGCTGAGGGGAGAAGAGATATGCTGAGGCGGCTTGCTGCACAGTACTGGAGTAGCTGGCAGGAAGCTCTCGTGCTGGTCCCATGTGACTGTGGCCCCAGCATCCTCATACTGGGTATTGTCCAAAGCCCCTTCTCATTCTGACAGTCCCCATTTTTCATACTACCCCTGTCTTCAGCAAAAAGATGGAATAAAACGAAATTTGCGAGAACCATTTCTCCCAGTGGTTTCTCGGTTAACATTTCCAGTTTCTGAAGAGAAATGCTGACTCTTTTTTTTTTTTTTTTAAAGAGACCGAGAGCAGTGTGGGGAGGGGCAGAGGGAAAGGGAGAGAGAGCATCTTAAGCAGGCTCCATGCCCAGCATGAAGTCCCCCACAGGGCTCCCTCTCATAACCCTGAGATCACGACCTGAGCCAAAATCAAGAGTCAGACGTTTAACAGACTGAGCCACCCAGGCACCCCCTAACTTGACTTTTAATAATTAGAGTGAAGTTTTGAAATTAATTTCAGTGAGAGCCAATCAACCTACCAACATAAACAAATTATTTAGAAAGTTTGAGGGAAATATAGACTCCTTAATTCTTTTCTGGATGTGGTAAGATTTTGCTGTTTAATAGTTTCAGAGTGATTTCTGGGTATCAAGCCTACAAAGTAATTTTAGTCCCCCTAAGCTGCCGAATTTTCATGGTGATGTTGAGAAAGCCACTAGCATTGTTGGCAACACTGATCCAGGCCATATCAGGTCTCCCAAAAGGCTGATCACTCAAAAGAGACTTAAATTCAATAGAATGGTGTCAAAAGCCATTCTTTGGGACGGTCCAGAAAATTAACATCATAACAGTGTCTTTTATTGCATATGAACCTTCATAAAAGAATCAAGGTGTTTTTATTTCTCCTTTTAAAAGCATTGGCTGGAAGCTTTCTGTGAGTCCTCACACCTGCACTGAGCTGTTCCTTCTAAGTAGGAGTCGGAGTGCTGTGGGAGAAGAACATGGCCTTCCACAGGGGCAGCTGCGGCATCGCTCTTGTGACGAGTCCGCCATCTTTATCTTATCTGCTTCGAACATTCAAACTTTTTAGCCATTGGCTTCAAATATTAAGCAGATATTATACGACCAACTGGTATCTTTTTTAAAAGATTTTATTTATTTACGTGACACAGAGAGATCACAAGTAGGCAGAGAGAGGGGGGGAAGCAGGCTCCCTGCCGAGCAGAGAGCCCGATGCGGGGCTTGATCCCAGGACCCTGAGATGATGACCTGAGCCAAAGGCAGACGCTTAACCCACTGAGCCACCCAGCTGCCCTGCACCAACTGGTATTAAACTAGAAATTGACTTTTCTCCCTTTCTCTTTTTTTTTAAGCAGGCTCCATGCCTGACACTGGGCCTGAACTCAGGATCCTGAGATCAAGAGTCAGATGCTGTACTAACTGAGCCATCCAGACAGCCCCCTACCCTTGACTTTTTTTCTTTTTAAACTTTCAGGTAACGTTTGATCCGGAGGTCTTTTTCAACATCCTTCTGCCTCCCATAATTTTCCATGCTGGCTACAGTCTAAAGAAGGTAAGAGATTTTTGCCAGTATTTCTTAAAGCACGGGAATCTCTATGTTAACGTACCTACATAATTTTCTAGTTTTTCCTTCTCCCACATTGCTTATTACTGTGTTCTGCACCTACTCAGAGACTATAGTTGTCTCATCATCCATGATTCATCTGTTTTAAAATCAGGAGCGCTCCTACATCGCCGGTAGGAATGTAAACTGGCGTGGCCACTCTAGAAAGCAGTTTCATGGTTTCTTGCAAAACTGAAGTTGAAACTACCACACGACCCCATCGTTTTTTTCCTGAGGATTTCCTCCCAGAGGAATGAAAACTCATGTTCACCCAGAAGCCCATACTTCATTGCTCAGAGCAATTTAATTCATAATCGCCCCAGTCCAGAAACAACCAAAATGTCATGCCATAGGTGCATGGTGAAATACATGGCCATACCTCAAAGGCGTTAGGCTGAGGGACAAAAAAAAAAAAAAAAAAATCTCACCTCAGAAGGTCACGTACTGTATGATTTCATTTATATAGTGTTCTAGGCAGGACCAAAGTATAGGGATGGAGAACAAAGGGTGGGTCCATGAAGCTACATATATGATAAAAGAACACAGAACCATTCACACACTTTGTCCCAATGTCGGTTTTCTGGTTTTGATCTTGTACTATGGCTATATGAGGTCTAACCGGTAAAGGAAACCTGGTGAAGGTACACGGGACCCCTCCGTACTATCTTTGCAATTTCTGTGAATCTGTAACGACTCCAAGATAGAAAGTTAAAAAAAAAAAAAAAGACTATCCCTCTGTATCCTACTCTCCCTCCAGATTTAGGTTTTCTGGACCAAAGGGTGTATCCTTTTTCTGACCACTCTGGGGGGTTCCGGAAGTGTGTAAATCTGTATGGCAGTGATTGACACGTGACAGGAGGTGATTTTATGGTTTTAAGTAATGTTATCCTCTATGTAAGTGAAGAATTTGGGAACTCCGTATCAGGGCGAATGGGTGATAAATAGTTTGGTATCTTAAATAACTAATCTTAATGTATCATCAAGGTCATAGTTGCTTTAAAATGAAACCAAATCACTGGTCGTGAAAGCCATTCTAAGGGCTGAGAAATACTTCAGGTTCAGCAGAGCCTTCCCTGTGTCAGCCTTGTTTTCCCAGAAGAAAAACAAATAACAGGCTTTGCCAGTTAGCAATTTAAGCTGTTTTTGAAATGCCAGTATTTTGGGCTATCTGCTCTTAGTTCAGTCTCTTTCCTTTTTAAATAGTCCTTACAGTGGCACTGAAATAGTGGTTCTTAAAGGGTTTTGCCATCTGTAATTAAGGCTGCTGTCATTTAAGCGTGTAATAACCATTCCACCAACTTCGCTGTGGGTATGGAAACAGATACATTCAGACCCTTTGACCTATGCACGTGTAGTTGTCATGTGGACACGAGCTTTTTTTCTTTTTTTTTTCTTTTTCCAAACTTGAAAAAATATCATTGGAATCAGCTTCGATTTTGTGCTACCGCTCCGTTTGCTTCCAGGGCCCATTGTCAGGGAAAGAATTCACCTATAGAAGCCTTCATGTCTTGTGAAATTCTCCCACCAAACTCTGTCTTGGTCTCTGTCTCTCAGTCTCTCTGTCTCTGAGTCTCTGTGTCTCATGGTAACACTCGCCAGTGAGGAACGGGAGGAGTAGAAATACAAGTCTTAGAATCGTACACTCTCTCATCCTGAACTGTTTTGGGCTTGTGTTCTTGAAGACTTTGCCAGGGCTCATCCACCTCCTTTGTCTCTTTTTGCCATCCTGAAATGGAGAAGGAAAAGTAGGGCAGACTGAACCAGTCATGGCCACGGAAGCCGCACATGACCGGCCAATTAAAAAGAAGATGAAAGACCTAGGATTCCACTAGCACCCAGGACTTAGGACTGGGAAGTGCTGTACTTTCCTCCCAAAAAGGGTGTGGTAGGAGTCGAGAAGGGTGGCCGGTGCAGCGAGTGTGATTCCCTGGAAAGACCCGCTTTCCAGGTCTGGTGCTGCCATTTGGTGGATGCGTGACTCTGGGTGCCTCACACTGCACCTTCGAGCCTTAGATGCCTCTCATGCACAGTGGTCCCCCGAGCACCTTCGTGATGGGGTAGCTGTGACAATTGGAGCTCCTCTGTGTGAAAGTCCTTCATACACTGTGAAGCAGAGAGTCGAGCGCTAGGTGTAGTAATACACAAGTAAGTGACAGGGTCTATCTTTCTTGCCAAGGCGTAAAATTCCAGTTCCTATCAACAAATATGAATGGCGATGGGTAATTATGTATGTATGTGTCTTATGTGTGTGTGTGTCATTTTAGAATATGTTATGGGTGTATTTGGACTGGCAGATTTATATTCCTAATTTGTGTGCGTGTGTATGTATAAGTGCTTTTATTTATATGGGTCAAAGATATCTTTGTATGTCAACAAATACACATTTAAGATAACAGTTTCAAAGGCTCTAGTTCATTATCACAAATCATTCAAATATCTGTCGTTGCCCATTTAAAATATTTTCACTTGTTGATTTTCAAATAAATTTGTGATGGAAATCACCCTCACATGTGCCCTGGAACAATCTCTGAGATGAACAAGACCGTGAGAGAGTCACTGGGCAGTGTGGAGTCAGCTTCTCAGACGTGTGCACTGACACCGAGCCTTCCTTTCAGTGCGGGCCGGCCCAGGCAAAGACACACATGTGGCATGGCGGCCACGTGGTCTGGTGTCTGTGCACAGGTTGTCCACTTCACTCTCCAGTGGGACCCTCTGGACCTGAGCATGGGGACTCGCTACACAGACCATGAATGCTAAAAGCAGCATGCTCCATGTGCTGCCAACAGTTGTACCCACCTGCACACTGGGGCCACTAGGCTCCCCCGCACAACCACACTGCAGCCAGGAATGCCTCCCAATGATGCTGGTCCTCCTGCACCCATGGTCTCCTGGCCAGTCCTGCCCCCGGCAGGCCTGAGAGCTGTAGTGCGCACCTGATCCTGCCCCCCACTCCCTGCGTCTGCACCCCTCGACCACCCACAAGATCCAGATTCTCCGCAAGCCCACGAACTAGGGCTCAGGTTCAGCTCTACCTGCAAACAGTCTGAAGTACAGACCCATCTTTCCACTAACATGTGCACTATCCTCTCCAGGTGGGTCCTGGACCTCCCTCATGCCCAGGTCCTTCCAGCCCAGGAGCTTGCACAAGGGCACCAAAGGGTGCAATCTGCATTGCCCCTTGCTCCCACACCCAGCCCGGGGACCAAATCCAGCATGTCCTTAAATTGAGATGCCCTCGAGCATGGCACCGGGGACCAGGGCCTTCTCACCAAATACACAGGGATAATAAAGTCTCCACCAGGCTCTAGTCTGAACCCCCTTCATCCCTGGGCCCCCACAAATACTACCAGATCTTCGGCAGCCCACACTCCCTGAGAACCAACCTTCCAGGAGGAGAATCTGCAGCTCTTACATTCCTGATTTTTTGTTTTGGCAAATATGAATATGAATTCACTTAATGGACTCAAACCACCCATCGAGATGGTTCACCTAAACGAGAGCTGGGCGGCGAGGGAAAGCAATTCTGGCATTCAGATCTGTCCCTGGATATGTCACGAGTTTCCTTGGTCTCACGTCTCTGTCTTGATGGACCGCTGGCCCTCCCCGATTTAAGCCCTTGATGGAGTTTTTAAAGGCAATTACGCTCACAGTTGTAGATTCTTTTTTTTTTTAATCTAGCTTTTTCAAAACATGGGTGGCTAAATACATTCACTTAAAGTAAAAGACTAGGGATAGTGACTCACTTAAAAGGCAAACATAATGTGTCCAAAATATACACAGGTAGCACCCTCACTTGGTGACTGGCGGTGTGGCAAGCCCTTGAACGGTTCTCTTCTGAGCAGGCGGCTTAGGGGCACTAGGCATTCCTTGACACCTTCTTCACGGCAGCAGGGAGGGCCAAGCACTGGGGAAGGCTGAAGTCAAGGCCCCATATCATCTGCTTAGAAGCCAGAGGCCACCCACAGTACTCCGTGTAGTCACACTTCCTGGTGGCTGCTTAATCCAGGCTGAGTTCTTCCTAGGCCCTGTCCTTCCCTGAGGTCGGTCAGCAGGCACACTGGGACTCTTTTGCCTTTTAAAATTATTTATTTATTTTTTTAAAAGATTTTATTTATTTATTTGACAGAGACACACAGAGAGAGGGAACACAAGCAGGCAGGAGTGGGAGAGGGAGAAGCAGGCTCCCTGCTGAGCAGGGAGCCCAATGCAGGGCTCGATTCCGGGACCCTGGGATCATGACCTGAGCTGAAGGCAGACACTTAACTGACTGAGCCACCCAGGCGTCTCGCCTCTTAAAATTTTTAAATAAAGTATTCCTGGCCCCCATCAAATTAGGATGTTTTGGGGGTTTTGTTTGTCTGGTTTTGTTAAATGGTTCTGATTGGCCAAATAAAACAGCCTGTGCCTTAAGGAGTAAGAACTGTGGCTTAGGGTCCCAGCAACAGGGATTTTCCCCATCACAATATCCCACAAGCCTAATGACTTTATGAGAAGTAAATCCGTGTGTGTGTGTGTATGTGTGTGTGTGTATTAAGGTAACCAGTGGATGTACAGAAGCATTGAGAAGATTGCAATTTTGCCATCTCTTTCTGAATGATTGCTAAATCTTATATTGGTATAAGTAGCTACAGTTATATACATATATATATATAAACTTATAAATTTGCCTATCTTAAATGAAACTATTCTTCATTTCTCCATTTCCATCTCTATTGGCCCTCTTTCCCAGGCTCCACAGATTAATCCAAAAGAATATCAGGAGACACTTAAGATGCCTTGAGACCAGATACTTAGGACACAGTTTTCTGACACTGAATGAAGCAGAAAGCCCCTTAGGCATCACTTTCATACTTTATCAGTTTCAAACTCCTATCTGTTATGATCTTCTAAGGTTCACCAGACCTGGAAGCAACTAGCTGAATCACCAGAGTAAAAGAGTAAAATAGTTTGGGTTAGATCTATGAAAATGGTCTACTTACACACACACACACACACACACACACACACACACACTTTCTGTCTCAGTGTAACTTAATATAATCACAGTGGTTTTCTCTGAAATTTACTAAGCCCTTGCGTGCTTACTCAGGGATTAATAGGACCAGGGATATTTTAAAAGCACAATGTTTATAGCTTATTAGCATTATTCTAGAGTAACTTCAGTTATTACTTGTTACAGTGGAAGCCATAAGTAAAATTTCACTTTTAAGAGACTTTTGTTGTGTTTCTTATGCTCAGTATCAAAACTCACAATGTGATTCCTGCCTCTTGTTTTATTCAGAGACACTTTTTCAGAAATCTTGGGTCTATTCTGGCTTATGCTTTCTTGGGGACTGCCGTTTCCTGCTTCATTATCGGGTAAGTTAACTCTTTGTCTAATAAAATTAACACACTTTCCAAAGAGATGAGATCCACATGGGTCCGAGAGCCCGGTGTTTTCCCCAGCTATACTGAGATGCAGCTGACCGATCACATTGCTGTGAGTTTCAGGTGGACAGTGTGTTGAATTGATATATTTATAAATTGCAAAATCATTACCACCATAATATTCGCTACCACCTTCATCCTGTCACATAGTTACCATTTCTTTCTTGTGATGAGACCTACTGTCTTAGCAAAATTCAAGTATATGACACAGTATTGTTACCGATAGTCCTCATGATGTACCTCAGGTCCCCAAACTTGTTACTCTTCTAACTGGAAGTTTGTATCCTTTGACCAACATCTCCCCATTTCCCCCATCTCCAACCCCTGACATCCAGCAGAGTCCAGGATTTCGATGTTTAGGATGATGGCGGTTAAGATCCAGAGCCACGTGGTGCAGTGTGGTAACTGTTAGCCCTGTGTAGCTATTCAAATTAAGATTAAGCTAAATTAAAATGAAATAAAATTTACACCTAGTCCCCAGATCTTGTTTCCTGATAACATCCTACAGTAAAAAGAACCAGGGGCCCCTTGCAGAAATGGCTGATTCTAGGGCTGGGGCAGCAAATATACAAGATAAGAATGGAGCATATCGTCAGGCCGAGAAATAAGGAAGCGCCCAGAAAACAAACAAAAGGACATGGGACGTGTCAAAGAGGGCGCATAGCCAACCTGAAAGCTCCCCTAAGGCCAGTGGCCAAAGAACGACAAAAGAAATAACATTGTACTGGACCCAGACTATAAAGTAAACATTCGAGTCTTGACTGATGTTAATAACTGATTGGATGAATAAATACATGGCAGAGAAGTGACCCATCTCCTGCGCAGAAGAATTCCAAATAATTTATGTCGACCCCCCACCCTGCCGGAGAGGGAGCTTACGTCCCCTCCTGCTTTGGTTGCAGGCTGTGCCTAGTGACTTTGTCCCACCAAGGACAGCAGGGGAAAAGGAGGAAGAGAGCGTAGCTGGCTGGTGGGGAGAGCCTGACAAACTAGATGATGAAGGTCAGCAGCCATAGTGGCAAATCATGCTGGGATGCTGCACTCTCGGTGTTTGTGATGAGAGTGGCACTTTCCCTCCCCAAAACATGTCACCTCAGTATAATCATGAGAAGGAAGGATCAGCCAAGTCCAAGTGGGAACACGTTCTACAAAATACCCTACCAGTATTCTTCAAAACGGCCAAGGTCATCAAAACCACACAAAGTCAGAGAGACCATCCCAGCCAAGAGGAGACTACAGAGACATGATGACTAAGTGTCCTGTGGAATCCTGGATGGGATCCTGGAATAGAAAAGGGACATTAGGTAAAAGCTCAAGGAAATCAGAATAAAGTATGGACTTTAGTTACTTTTTAAAAAATGAGCTGGAAAGCTGGAGGAGATAAAAGGCCAAGGGCGTTTTGTGTCGTCAAAATAGGAGGGGCTTGGACTTCGTCCTTTAAGAATGACAGATTAGCTGACTGGTATTACTGGCAAGATGGGGAAAGATTGCCAGAGAGCAGCCCAGCACCCAAGTCTGTTTGTGGTCAAAGGAAATGGACAGGCAAGTGTAGTTTCAGGGAAAGTCTGAAAGGAAGGGGAAAGAAGCCTTCGACGGGCAATAAAAGGCAAATCACATCTGTCCCACAGTTACTGGGAATCAAAGTTGAACTGTTTAAGTGTCTGGAACAGTGCCCGGCCCCCAGTATGGAAGCATTGAGTTATAGCTATGTACTGTCGAAAGGATTCCATTCTGGAAATAGTTCCTGAGCTCCCAGCTTAGTCAGTCTGTTGCTCTCGGCACCCAGGATACAAAGGTGAGCCACAGAGTGGCCCTGACTGGCAAGAATATTATTATTAGAGTGTTAGCTGTAGGGTACAGTGAATCCATTCTGGGGTTATTTTTACTCCCCTCACCCCTGCAGCTGCCCCCCATACACACCCTTAGTGACATGCACCAGGCCTTTTAACACTCATCACTCCTCCCCTTTTGTAAGCTCTCCTGTAGGAAATGTGCTCCGGCCAAGTGGAGATATTTAACTCAGGAGTCTATCTTGGACCATGTCACATCCTGCATGGCACGAGAAGGGCCAACGCTGGCCTGCCCCAACCCCTGCAGAGAAGGCAAGGCCGGATATGCCGACGGGTGCACTGAGATTTTACTAGGACGTTTACAACGTTTAGTTCCTTTTTCCTTTCTTTTCTTTTCTTTTTTTTTTTTTTCAATAATTCTTGGCAGAGAAGTTTGGTCGCTTGGACCTTCATGGCCTGCCCATGTTTGTTTTTCTCCCTAACTCGTCCAGCTCTCATTCCTTTCCACAGCTTTAAACACACCTCCTTACAATCCCGTCAGTTTTGTTCAAGCCGTCGAGTACACACCGTGAAGCGTGCTTTCCCTTCCCTTCCCCTCGATTACCCAGAGGCTTCAGAGGCTTTAAGGTTGTTGCTAATCGAGGGCCCTACTTGCTAGTTGGAAGTAAGCCCAGCTTTAAGAAATGGAGTGGTGTTCACATGTTTCAGCAAGAGGTCGTTAACGACGCATCATTACTTGATGCCAAAGTCTTATTTGCACGCGTTCCTGGTAAGTGTCCAAGGACAGCAGCTGCCCAAGGTTTTCCCTGATCCACCTGAGAAGTGCAGTACTGGGGGCTGCTCTGCTCGCATGTGGGCCAGTGTGCTCCGTGAGGAGGGTTTTCGTTTTCTCTTGTCACACACTCTCCCTCCCCTCCTCACAGAAATCTCATGTACGGTGTGGTGAAGCTCATGAAGCTCGTGGGGCAGCTCTCGGACAAATTCTACTACACAGACTGTCTCTTCTTTGGAGCCATTATCTCTGCCACCGACCCAGGTATTCGGCATTTTTGGCTTTGTCATCGTGACGTTCCATTATTTCAATCTTAAACCATTGAGAGCAACCACTAGCTTTGGTCACAGTAGGGAGACTGTACAGTCAGCATGGAATGGCGGCGGAAGAGATCAGGAAGTGGTCTAATGGAGTTAGATGGCTTTTTGAAGGGTGTGTGTTTCCCTTTTGTTTTTATTATTATTATTATTATTAAGATTTTACCTATTTGAGAGGAGAGACCACGTGTGTGTGCGCATGTGCATGGGCGGGGTGGGGGGGGAGAGTCAGAGAGGGAGAAGCAGACTCCCCGCTGAGCGGCAAGCTGGATGTGAGGCTCCATCCCAGGACCCTGAGATCATGACCTGAGCCAAAGGTAGAGGCTTAACCCACTGAGCCACCCAGGTGCCCCTTTATTATTTTTGTGTTGTGCTAAAAAATACATAACGAATTTTACCATCTTCATCATTCTTAAGTGTGTACAGTTCAGTAGTGTCAAGTCTGTTCACACCGTCGTGCATTCAACCTCCAGAACCTTTTCATTTTGAAAACTGGAACTTGGTATGCATTAAACAGTAACTCCCCCATTTCCACCTCCCTCCAGTCCCCAGCAAGCACCATTCTTCTTCCTGTCTCTGTGAGTGTGACTACGGTAGCTACTTTATAGAAGGTGGAACCGTACGACGCTTGTCTGTGTGTGTCTGGCATGTTTGACTCCGCATAATGTCTTCACGGTTCATCTGTGCAGTAGCACGTGTCGGGACTTCCTTCCTTTTCCAGACCCAATAATATTCTGCTGCGTGTCTGTACCACATTCTCTTTATGCATCTGTCCACAGCAGACACTTGGGTTGCTTCTGCCTGTATCTCCCTTTTGTCTTTCATTTTTGAATGTCTAATATGGCCGTAATTTTTACACTTTGACTGTCTTCTTCCTCAGTATTGTGCTTTCATCTTCGTTGAGGAAATCATATCATTTCATATCATTTTCATTTGAATAAGACCTTTTCTTAATGGGCGTGCACACCAATACCTGCAGTGACTGTACTGTCTTTTGTAAACTCCTTTTTTGCTCAGTGTTCCTGCATAACAGCACACTGTGGCCTGGTTCCAATTCATAACTCTCTGACCTTGTACTTTCCGAGTGTCAGTCGAACTATTTCTTCAAAGTGGAATCATTATATGCCTGCCCCGCTCTGCAGCTCCAGAACAAACAAACAAAAAACCTCCTTTCTCCAAGTTGGAACCTACAGTTAAATCAGTTCACATAAAGCAGTTCTAGCTAGTCTTTCCTCTGATGTCAACCACTGAGAGGACATTGTAGGCAAAGAACGTACAGAGAAAAAGATGGCACTGTCCTGGTAATGGAGGTGCAAAGGCCTTCTCACCATCGGGGTGCCCTCTAACATTCTGGACAGTAATGGTTTTAAAGATACTAAGAATCTCCCCACCACACAACTGTACCATGCCTCGTGGGGAGTCCTCTAGATCAGTGCGATGATAGACATGGTCTGTGTTCTGCGCCCAGTCTGGTATGGCAGCCAGTAGCCACATACGGCCACTGAACCCTCGAAATGAGGGGTGGTGCACCTGAAGAACTGACTTTAAAATTTATTTTGTGTTAAGTAATTTGAATTTAGATAGCTACATGTGCTAGGGCTCACAGTTGTGTGGCTCTGAAAACTGCCACTGTTCCAAAAACCATTGAACTCTTACTGCCATACTTTATTCCAAACACTAAGTAAACTGGTATAGAAGACTTGGCTGGTTGAAGCACCCTGGGTTTGGAAAAAGAGTGCCGGGAGGTAGAGTCGCAGGTGGAAGTTTGAGTCCGAGACCCTCCAGCCACTGACCAGGTGGGCCTGTGCACACCTTCTCTCCTCCGTGTCAGTTTCCTCATTCAAGAAGTAGGAATAATGATACCTATTTCCCAGGGCTATAATGAACATTAAATGAACGAACACATGTAAACCATTGACCATAGCATCTGCTAATCACGTCGGTCTCTATCCACATCTGGCTCAGGCAGAGATTTCTAAGACAGGTGTTTAGTCTCTCTGAAAATATACTACTAACTATACTCGTCTGTAACTTAAAAAAAATGTTTTTTTTTTTTAATTTATTTGAGAGAACAGGGGTAGAGGGGCAAAGGGAGAGGAAGAGAATCTTAAGCAGACTCCCCGCAGAGCAAGGAGCTCAATGTGGGGCGCGATCTTGCTACCCTGAGATCACAACCTGAGCCGAAACCAAGAGTCAGATGCTTAACCACCTGAGCCACCCAGGTGCCCCCTTGTCTGTAACTTTATCCCTAACTTCTTACACTAGTACCACCAATAAGCAAAGGGAAGTTACTGTCATATAAAGTTCACTGATGTTGTTTTCTGACCTATTAGTATTGCTTCATTTAATTGGATAGAAAGGCTTATTTTTTTTCCAGATTATCTTCTTAATTGTTTCCTTCCCTTTAATGTGTCCATGCTGTGGTAGAAATTAATGGAAGGCATCACCATGACACAGCGTTGTTATTTGGTCTGTGAAGATTGGTACAGTAAGGGTTTTATATAAATGAAAGTTCTAGAAGGTTGAAAGTTTAAGCTTATTAAACACCAGGACATTAACTTTAACTGCTTTTTAATGGAAATCTTTCTGAAATGTGGACTGTTTTTATAAATTAAAAGCCTTTTACCAACTTCCTAAAAATCTATCATTTGAAAACTTGGGCCATAAAAGAAATAAAAACTTGAGTACAGAGTTAGAAGGGGCCAAAAGACCAGATTGACTCCTTGTGTCTGCTACATCAGACCAAAATTCCGATATCGGTATACGTAGTGGTGTTGACTGATAACGAAGAAATCCGAGTCCTTGTCCCTGAGTACATCACACTGAGCTCGAGACACCAGTCTTCCGGTCTTCCTGTGGAAGGGGACATCACATGTGTGTGGTTGTGTAGGTGGCTCTGTGAACTGCAGGCATCTCTCTTGTGTGGTTTTGTGTCGGGGGGCCACATGGACTGTTATTTTAGACAGACCACAGCTTGGCAGAGGACAATGTACGTTTCCCACCCAGAGCACATCTCCAACAGCCACCAGAGAAAATGACTCGCTCCTCCTTGCTGTGCATCACAAGGAAGCGGTTCCTCTCATTTTGATTCTGTCACTTTTACGCCCCTCGACTTGCCCAGGCCTGCTCACGGGCTTGTCAGAGAGTAATTCTCTAGTTGTGTCACCGGGGCTGCTCAGTCTCTTGCTTATCCTTTGTGACTCTGTTCCAATATGCCACCTGCCTACACGCTCTGCCCTTACTCCTTCAGCTGCTCGCTCCCACCGCTCTTGAGTCAAGCCTGGTTTGTATGTAACGATACTCGCCACTCGTTACTGAGCGTTGGCAGGTGCTAAGTGCTCTTCAGTACACAGATGAAGTGCTCGGGGACAACTTCAATGCATTGAATGAGCAGATTCAGGTTCTTGAATTTTCCTTCGTCCTACATCTGCCCTCTTATTTTTTTCTCACTACTTCTCAGAAAATGCCTTTATCAGAGATCTTCAGGCAATTACCTGGCATTTCTTAGTCCCTGTCTGGCTAGAGACAGCCCTGGTGACAACTCTGTCTGATTTCAAGGGTCCCTCTGTGGGGGGAGCAGCCCCTTTACTCTCCACCTTGAGAAGCCACTCACCCAGTATCTGTCACCCCCTCCATCATCTTCCGGTTGTCCCCACCTACACTGCTCTTCTTGCTCAGGCACAGCCTGGCTCAGGAGGGGCACACGGCAGTCCCTGCATTGTTCTATGAAGGGATGGGCAGGGAGAATGAGAAATTGAAAATCAGAGCAGCCAAATTAAGACCGGGACCGTGTAATTGTTCATTGCTATGAGTATTAACTCTGTAAGCTGTAAGCAAGCCTTTCTTGTCACAAGTAAGTGAGCTAGCTGTACATCTTTGTTTTGTTTTACTATTGCTAACTGTAGAATTGCAGGAAAATGGTGTTTAATGTCAAAAGGGCTCTTGAAAATCATGGCGCTCAAGCTCCCCTGCTTCACTAAATCTTTGGACTTGGCTGTGAGCTAAGTTCTCATAGCCTGTTGGTGGCTATGTGAAATGGCTTCTGTTTTCCCCTCCAGATTAACTCACCACCCTTCACCACCCTCCTTTGGGTACCAGGAGGCTGATTTGTATGGAAGATTCCAAAGTTTCCTTTGCTGTCTGGTTTCCCATTGGATTTGTCCAGAGGGGAGCACCAGTGGGCAACTGGAAAGAGGGTGGAGATGCAGGGTCCTGTGGGCTGGTTGTGTTCCTTGATCAGGGGACACTGATCCCATCAGGGGACCCTCTCTACACGGCTCCTGGGCCCAGGCATAGTATAGGATAGTCCCTGTTTTCAGCAAAACATACTGTCTCTCTCTTGTGGTTTTTCCCATACTCTGCCCACATTTCCATAAACACTCCCTTCAATACATACTTCTCAATTTGCTCAGTTTAAGGGTCTTCTCTCTCTCCTGCCAGGTCCCTGATTGATAAAGTCCTGGGTCCCAGGTCTCCTGGGTTGCCAGCCCTGTGTTCTGTTCATTGAGATTAGCCTCCACCAGTCTTGAGTCCCCGAGTGACTGGTGTGACCAGAGGCTCCAGTACCAAGTTTGGGTGGACATGTCATATGAGCAATGGCTAAAACTTAGCTTGGGTTCAACTACTGAGATTTTGGGAGTTTCTGCAGCAGAAAGCAGCCCATCAGACAGGGCCTGTTTTCTCTTCTCTGAATTAGGGAAATGATAGTACTACCCACCTAGGGGTACGGACTAAAAGAGATTATAAAACGTTTGTCATAGTGCCTGCTTCTTGGTTAGTCCTTAGTAATAATTGTTTTTATTAGCCTTACCAATATTTCATCAACATTGGGTTAAAACATTATAATTCTTTAAGATTGTATTTATTTGAAAGAGCAAGCACGAGCAGGGGGAGGGGCAGAGGAAGAAGGAGAGAGCCAAGAAGACTCCCCGCTGAGCTAGGAGCCCAGTGAGGGGCTCGATCCTAGGACTCCTCAAGATCATGACCTGAGCCAAAGTCAGATACTTAACCAATTAGGCCACCCAGGTGCCCCAAAACAAGATAATTCTTATGTCACATAATGCTAAACTAGTAGAATAAAGGTTTTATATTAGTCCGGGTTCTTCAGAGAAACAGAATTAATAGGGTGTGGGTGTGTATGTGCGCGCGCACGTGCGTGCACGCACGTGTGTGGAGAGAGAGAGTGAGCAAGAAAGTAAGAAAAGAGATCAAGTGAATATGAAGAATTGGCCATGTGACTGTGGAGGCTGAGAAGTCCTCAGATCTGTTGTCTGAAGGCCTGAAAACTGGGAAAGCCAATGCTGTCCTTCCAGTCTGGTCCAAAGACAGGAGGAGACCATTATCCCAGCTGAAACACGGGAAGCAAGAGCAAAGTTTTCCTCACTCAGCCTTCAGCCAACTGGATGAGTCCCACCAACAACGGGGCGGGCAATCTGCTTTACTAAGTCTTCTGACTCAAATGTTAATCTTATCCAAAACCTCACAGACAAACCCAGAATCATGTTTAATCAAATATCTGAGGCCTCATTGCCTAGTCAAGTTGACCGATAAAATTCACCCCCCACAGGTTTTCTGGAAGGACCCACAGATACTGTTCATATAATAGATACTCCAGAAAATAAGAATTTTTTAGCCAAATCCCCAAAGATTTTTCCTTTTGTGTTACTTGATAAACTGTATTTAAGGATGGATAAAAGAGACTGACCTTGTGTCTTGTGTTATGAAGATGACATGTCCTCCAGGAAGTATGCCTTCTGGCGATGCCCCCCATAGTGATTCGAGCATGTGGATGTATAATTACCTGGAGCAGCCTCGTGACAGAGTCCACATCTGTCCTATCCAAGCTGTTCTTTGCTTCCTCTCAATAAATGAATGAAACTTTCTGAAAAGGAGAGAATGACGGGGACAGTGTAGTTTTAGAATATTCCTTAATCCCTAATAGAAAAGGAGGAAGCAGGACAGCAAAAATAAAAACACAGGGATACAGCTGGTTGACATAGTACATATGGGTCCCCAGATATTATCTGCTAGGGTCAGACCACCAGCAGCGGCGAGACTCGGGTCGGAACTGCAGCTGTGCAGGAGGAAACGGGGAACTTTCCCCCAAGTATTCACACTCAAAAGGAAGGGTCCCCACTCGGAGTAAAGAACTTGGTAGGTATATCAGATAGCAACAGTGAAAGCTGGGATGCACTACACAGGCTCCAATCTGTGGGTGACAGCGAGGACACTGGAGGAGGTGTGAAGCTGCTGAGGTGACCCGAGCCCTCAGGGCTCTCGAAAAATACCCAGTGAAAATCTCTCTGGAAGGATAGAGCCACTCCCTGAAAAGGAACTGCTAAGGACCACAGACCCAGCGTGACAGGGCATCAAAGGAGAAAGAAAGCTCAGACACCCATCGAGAAAGGAGACCAGAGGAAGTATTTCATGAGTATTAAGGGGGTGGCTATGCTTGGAGGCCGCATTTTCAGTATTTCAATGTAAAACCAGCAGAGGGAGCCCTAGAGCCATGAAACGAGGAAAGCTAGTCTGGGTCTTCCCCTCCCCACCTTCCTTAAAATGAGCAGCTTGAAGTGGATTGAGATCCTACTTCATGCAACCATACTGTAAGAAAAAATGAGGATAGCCCCTCTGAATAATAAAGTTGCAGATAATTAAGTAATATCAGCAAAATAGGGTACCAAAGGAGAATATTACTAATATTAATAGAAGCTAAAGGAAATTCAGGGGGTACCTGGGTGGCTCAGTTGGTTGAACATCGGACTCTTGCTTTCTGCTTCGGTCGTGATTTCAGAATCATGGGATCGAGCCCCACATCGGCTCCACATTCAGCACTGGGTCTGCTTGTCCCTCTCCCTCTGCTCTCCCCTGCCCTGGTAACTTGCTTGTGCTCTCTCACTCTCTCTCTCTCAAATAAATAAAATCTTTTTTTTTTTAAAAAAGGAAATTTGGAAAATGATACAAGTTATGAAAGCACTGTGAACATCAGGATTGGAAAATTCAGAACTGAGAGGAGTAAACAATAGGCATCGTGGATAGAGTTGACAGAAAGGAGCAGATGAGGAGCCCAGGCAGTAAACAAGATGTAAAAAAAAATTTCAAAAACTCAATTTAAAAATGGACAAAACCTAAGCAGTAGTGTCGGGGAATAACCTTGGGTAATCAAACTGTAAGGAAATGTAGGAAAACAATTACTATAAAATGAGGTTGGTGGTTACGTTTAAGTGGGAGAAGGGGCTTGAAATTAGGATGCAACATAGAGGTGGGCTTCCGGTGGGGGCTGGCAAAATTCCATTGCCTGCACTGGGTGATGGCTACAAAGAGGGGTTAGCTTGTAATAACTCACAAAGGTAAATATTCATTTGGTTTTGTTTTCTAATTGTGTCTGTTAGTAATGCCTTTGGTTGCAAATAGCGGAACAAGCTGGCTCATAGGAGCTTAAACAGAGAGCTGTCTCTTTTAGCTTACGTCCCTCAGCTGGTGCCTCGGCTCCCGCGACAGTCAGGTGTCCGGGCACCCCGTCTCTCCAGGGCACTGCCCTTGTGTTTCAGATGCACATTTGTTGCCCACTGGAGGCGAGGTGACTGTGATACATCCATCTGTCCACTCTCCTCCAGGCAAGAAGAGGTGACACTCACTGCAGGAGAAGCTGGGGAGGCGAATTTTTAGTTTTTAAAGTCCTTATGGTAGAAACGAATGAAGCAGAAGGTGGTTGGGCGCGAGAGTGGAGAGGAGCCTGCCTGCCTGCCTGCCTGCATTTCTCTGGAACAGTGGTTCTTCACCGGGGTGGGTGATTTGTGCCCCTCAGGAGACATTGGCAACGTCTGTAGACACATCTGGCTGTCCCAGTCAGCCGGGAGCGTGCGATGCTCCTGGTATCTAGTGGGTGGAGGCCAAAAGTGCTTCTGCACATCCTACAGGGCACAGGGCAGCCGCCCACAATCCAGAATCCACTGGCCCCAAATGGCCATCGTGCTGCGGTTGCGGGACTCCAGAATGCCTTCACGGGGACAGGGCGGTCCAGACTGATGTAAATCATTACATTAATAATACTAACACATTGTTTTTCTTTTTTAAAGAGATTTATTTATTTATTTTTAAGAGGGTGAGAGAGACGGTGAGGGAGAGAGCGAGTTGGGGAAGGGGCAGGGGGAGAATATCCAGGCCAACCCCCGCTGAGCGCAGAGCATCTGGACCTGAGCCGGAATCAAGTGTCAGATGCTCAACTGACTGAGGCACCCAGGCGCCCTCATTATTTGTCTTTTTACTTTCATTTTTTCACGTGTGTCTAGTGGAGTAGGGCTTTCCAGAGGCTGCATAACATGCGCTGGTGACTATCTGGTGGTCAAGTGCGGAAAGAGATAAGAGAACCATCTGTCTTCCAGTCTAGATACGGAAGAGATCTGAAAAACTCTAAAACAAATGGCTCTCTCCTCACTGATTTTTTTTTTGTTTTGGAAAATATAATTATTTTTCATCAAAAATATGTACGTTAAGGGGTGCCTGGGTGGCTGAGTTGGTTAAGCATCTGCTTTTGGCTCGGGTCATGATTCCGGGGTCCTGGGATCAAGCCCCGAGTCGGGTCCCTGCTCAGCGGGGAGCCTGCTTCTCCCTCTGTCCCTCCCCCCACTCGTGCTCACTGGCGCTCTCTCTTTTTCGCTCAGATAAATACATAAAATCTTTTTAAAAATAAGTACATTAACATACGATGGGGTCTATTCCTAGTTTTAAATGCATAAATATTTTTTAAAATATTTAAATTTTGGGTTTTGGGAATGCAGTGGTCAGTAGGAAAAGGGTTTCTGCCTTTAGAGAGATTTCACCTTACCAGTGGAGCCAAACACATTCACTGTGATTATTTCTTAAAGTTCTGTAACAGAGGTCATTTCCAAGTGTGGTGGGATTGCACTGGAGAGCGCAGGGTGATGAGGTGGTGTTCTTAGAATGGAGCCTCCTATCAGACCTCACTCAGATCAGGATGACTGTCATTTTCATTTTGTTTCATTTGTCTCCCAAACTGCCCTGTTCCACCAAAGGTAGGAATTAGCTCTATACATTTGTCACCGGTGGCTTAAGCTGCAACTCACTGATATGCTTCCTGCCCATTTTTAGTGACTGTACTGGCAATATTTAATGAATTGCACGCAGACGTGGACCTTTACGCACTTCTGTTCGGGGAAAGCGTCCTAAATGATGCTGTTGCCATTGTCCTGTCCTCGTAAGTAACAATATTACTCTGCCCCAGGGAAGAGAGCCTCCAGCTTCCGGAAGGCTCTGGGCTCAATTCAGACACTTATCTTAAAAATGTTAAAGATTGAACCAGGTGTTTTTCTCCACTGATAAAATTACGCTGCTTTGTCCACTTGGCAGTGATCCAAATGCTGATGGCAGCATGACACGAGGGCTGTGGGTTAAAGGCATACAGCAGGGGGAGTGCTGGGCAGAGTGTGGATACCATTGTGTAAGGTGGGCGTGCTCTGTTTTAATTCTCTCTTCTTTTTAAACCCCAGGTCTATTGTTGCCTACCAGCCGGCGGGGCTGAACACGCATGCCTTTGACGCTGCTGCCTTTTTTAAATCAGTGGGCATTTTTCTAGGCATATTTAGTGGCTCTTTCACCATGGGAGCTGTGACGGGCGTTGTGACTGCTCTAATATCCTTTCTGTGCTTTCCGCCCCTGCCTGGGTAGGATCGCGTGCTAGGACACTCGCAAGAGCAAGGTCTCGGTTCTTCCTCTCAGAAATGGTTTCTTTTTTTTCTTCCAGAAATGAATCTTTAATCGATGCTTCCACTGGGGTCAGGGGGTAGGGGTGGGGGCTCCTGAAATGTGTCCCTTTGGTGAAATGTGACAGTCAAGTATGTAGCTAGCTAGGCCTCTGAGAAAATGTCTGGGAGTGTGACTCTAGCCTTAGCTCCATCCCTACCCCTGCATTCTCTCCCTCCGGCAGAGCAGCTGGAGATAGGAGTTTGGGGAGGACATTGGTTTTGGAGTCGGGAGGAGAGCCAGGAGGCCGGGAGGGAGCAGGCCGGAAAGTACTGGAGCCTGGAGCTTGCCCTCAGCTGTTGTGGGTCACATGGGCTACCGTGGCTGTAACTGCCTGGGGCCGTCAGTGGCTGTTACTGCAAGGTGGCCTCCCGTAAGTGAAGGATTGTATCCTATTCACTTCAAAAACCAGCCAAGCAACAGTAAAGCAAAGCATGGGCTGAGCAGACCACCCCTCGACAGGTGTGCGGAGTACTTCGTCAAATGTTCTTTTGGTGGCATTTAGATCCCCACTGTCCAGTACGATGCCACAGGAGCCACAGCTGCCAGCCACGTCATCTCAGCCTGCAGTCAAAATCCAGATTGTCACTGAGATTTCATACGTGCAATTTCTATAATAAACCTCTGCAATGTGGCACTCGCATTTTGCTCTTGCAGCATCTCCCAACTCAGACTAGCCCCACTTCCGGTGTTCAGGAGCCCCTCGTGGCTAGCGGCTACCCTACTGGATGGCCCAGATCCATCGCTTCCTTCCCAGAGGCCCCCGTGATGCCCTGGGGACTCAGGCTGCTCTGTGAGCGCCTCAGGAAAGCCTTCCATGCTAGCCCACTGGAAGGGCAGTGTTACGAGGGGACTCTTTCTTTGTCCCCGAAAGTGACACCAGTACCCAGAGTTGTGTGTTTTATTTCTTCATTTCTCACGCATTCGTGAGGCACCGGCTGTTGGCCTCAGGTCATAGCGGCCCACAGAGGTCAGAGTCTCACTGTCCTCATCTCCCTCCCCAGGCCCTGCCTGGGGTACCACCAGTGCTGTTAGAACTCCCTGCCAGTCACCCCTCAGGCCAAGACCAAGCCCCTCAGAGCCCTGGGCATTTTAAGGAGCACAGAGAACCTATTTCCCGTTGCTTTAGAAAGCTCCATTTTTTTAAAGACTGCTTTATGGAGGTAAAATTTGCATACCATACAATTCACCCTTTTGAAGTGTACAGTTAAATGGCTTTGGGTATGTTACATTACTATCTTTTTAAATTGTGGTAAAATACGTATAACGCAATTGACCATTTGAAGCATTTTAGGTGTATAATTCAGTGGCATTAAGTACATCCACATTGTTCGTGCCACCGTCCCCACTGTTTCCAGATCTTTGTCATCATCGTAGACAGAAACAATACCCCCCTCTCTCCTCTTTCCCAGCCCTTGATAACCTCTTTTCTACCGGAAAACTTACTTTTTCTTGCTTTAAAAACCGAGCAGCAGCTTTGGGGCCCCCAAAAGAAGAGTTGTAGGGAAAGGATAGCCCTTAGGGAAGGGGGTTCTGGGCTTACCAGGTGTGGTTCTTGGTGGCCCCCATATCTTGTTCCCGGAGCCAAATTCCTTGACAGAGGCCCACGTGACCAAGTTTACCAAGCTGCACTGCTTCCCCCTCCTGGAGACGGCACTCTTCTTTTTGATGTCCTGGAGCACCTTCCTTTTGGCGGAAGCCTGTGGCTTCACAGGTGGGTTTTCACTACCCGTGGGCTACCCTTCCCCTCCTGGCAGCCAGGGCTGTGCAAACTGGAGGGGAACTCGCGGAGCCGCCCGGTGGAGTTCATTCAGCGCTCCCATAGCGTCTGCATGGAGGGTTGCTGAGCGAGGCTGGTGTTCTGCCTGAGGAATAGTTTTGTTTCCCAGAGCTACACATTTTTAAAGGATGAAATTTATTGCTTCAAGCTCAGCTGTCTCTGACTACTGGTTCCAGTTGCAAGCAGATGTTTAGCTGCAGAGGTTAATGAACATATTAACCTCTTCGCTGTTATCATCCCTTAGATTGCTGCTTCTTTCACAAACAGTAACAAGCAACAGACAAAATCTGTATCCTTGTAAGGGTAACTTTGTATCTACTCTGATGAATGTGAACACAGTTCATCCTTGTTTTGGCTCTGGTTTATTTAATCATTATTTTTCAATACTATGTGTTTATGATGCCAGTTTCATGTATTAGTATAAGTAACCTTGTGGTTGTAGTTCTTCCCATTCTCTCATAAAAAAAAAAAAATCACTGAATTTTTCCACTAGAACACTCAAGTACAATTGCTATACATAATCCAGGTAGTTGGGAAGCCCTTTTAATTCTCTTTTCAAAATAATGCAACATGTCTTTATAGGCAGCCTTATAATATACCCCACTTCTTTAAACTTTGGCAATTATCTGTAAAGGTCAAGGCATGGTCCAGATGCATCAGTTGTCTTGCACAACAAAATGGTTACCATTAATCCTAAAGCAAGGTAACCACGCCTTGGAAAAAAAATGGCACAGTACTCCGGATCTACTTTGTCTGAAACCCTAGACCATGCACAAACAGAAAGCATTTGCTTGCAATTAAATTCACTGCTTCTAAGAACAGAGCAGAACATGACAAAAGGATACGATGGGTCCCATGGATATGAGGCGCCCCACAGCCTCTTGGAAAGAGTGAATGCTAAATGCCAAATTCAGTGGGAGTTTAGAGGAGAGAGAATGCCCTTAAAACTGGAGCAAGGAGGGAATTCAGGCCCCTTGGCTTTGAAGGAAGACAGTCAGAAGAAGGGAAGGTTGGTATGAGTGGTGGGGGCAGACTATAGGAAAACTTCCCAAACTATTCCAAACTTTCAGTAATAGGAAACTTTCCAAACTGTTCAGGAAGCTGGATATATTGGGCTTGCCCACCTGAAGTTTTTGTTTCAGTGGGGATTTTTTTCCTGCTCCATATTTTTTCCCATTGATTTTTTTTTCTTTCTTTTTTAAAAAATCTCTCACCAGGCGTTGTAGCTGTCCTTTTCTGCGGAATCACGCAGGCTCATTACACCTACAACAACCTGTCGGTGGAGTCACGAAGTCGAACGAAGCAGGTGAGAGCAAGCCCTGGGTCTTCACGAGTTAGTTGTGCATACAAGGGAGGCGCCCCACAAGGTTTACGGCTTCCTTTTCCCATCCCATGCAGCTCTTTGAGGTGTTACACTTCCTGGCAGAGAATTTCATCTTCTCCTACATGGGCCTGGCGCTGTTTACCTTCCAGAAGCACGTTTTCAGCCCTGTGTTCATCATTGGAGCTTTTGTATCCTTTTTTTGGTTCTACTGTTTTGTCTGTGGACAAGTGACCACTGCTGGGGAAGCTATAATAAGAAGAATTTCTGTTTGGGGTGGGTGACTGAGCCAGCGCTGGTTCATGATGGTGTTTTCCTGCTGAGAAAAAGGCGGCTTACGAGGTTCATAAAACTCAGCGGATTCAACGGAAAGATCGGCATTCATCTGAGGCTGTCCTTTCTGCGTGTTCTGTGTAAGACAGTTTTCCTGTTAGCCTAGTGCGTATTAGGTGGTAGCTTGTTTTATAGAACACCCTTCTTCTTATTTATTTTATTTATTTATTTTCTTATTTATCTTATGTATTTATTTATTTATAAAGATTTTATTTAGTCATTTATTTTAGAGAGAGAGAAGAGCACGCATGTGCCTCTGCATGCAGGGGGAGGGGCAGAGGGGGAGGAAGAGGGGGAAGCAGACTCTGCGCTGAGTCCCGACATGGCACGTGGGATGTGGGACCCCGAGACCATGACCTGAGCTGAAATGAAGAGTCAGATGCTCAACTGACTGAGCCATCCAGGTGCCCCATAAAGCACCCTTCTTAGCAGATCTGCAAGTTGGCCACTGTGTCAGTCCCAGAATCATTTTTATTTCATTGCTACCTGAATTCCAATCCAGAAGGTTCCCAGTTTGGAAGACCTGAAGGTTCTGTTACTCTTGTTCCCAACTGAACAGGCAGCCCTTCCTCAGGCTGCCCAGAGAGGCCTGCCGGCAATGAATCCGCTTTCCCTGGAGCATACCTGCTGTGATAGATCACAGTGGAGAAGACTCCCTTTATTTTTTTCCCAAAAAAAAGAAAAGAAAAGAAAAAGGAGAGGAAGAAAAGACAAAATGGAAAAATACTTGGTTCCTTGACTTAGTTCCATGGTGAATGCAGTTTTTGGCAGAGAGACACTGTTTTAGGGATTGGCATCTCTGAAGAAAGGAGGGATGTGAATGCCCAGCTGTGGGTGGACAGCTCAGAGCTTTGCTCGCTTGGCCTCTGATCCTATGGTTTTCATTGACGTGAACTCCTCTGGGCCTTGGAATGGTAGCAGTTCAGCTCAGCCTAGATTTGTAAACACTGAGCCAGCATCCCCCATTGCCGGGCATTTATGCTTGCTTTTTCTGAGGCCTCATGGGTAACCTTAAAAAAAAAAAAAAAGTGTTTTTCTCTTCTGGGCTTGAAGACCAAGGGATACTCACCAAGCAGCTGGATAGTGACTGTGGCTGGCCTGTTGCTGTGCGGGGTCCTTCTGTTTAAAGTGTGATCTCCTTCACCTGGGGCTCTATTGGATGGATTTACATACTCGCCAAGACTGACAGCTAAAAATCTGGGGGATCAGCGTTCTCATTCTTGCTCCAGAAAGACGTCACATGTCCTCTAGATCTGTATTCGGAGCATAGCATCTGGGGAGAGAGAGTGAGAGCAGCAGCCCTTGTTTACAGAGGAGGGCCTTGCTGGGAGGGCGAGCCGGGGGTGGGGGGAGCCCCCTGGGAGTCCCGAAGGCCCCTTACCACTTGAGGACCTTTGCGTGGCTTCTGGGATAAAATGTGCTTTCTAAGCACTACCTGTTTCCTTCTGTTCGAAACCAAACAACACAACACAGAACCAGAGGGGTTGGGAGGGGCACAGATTGAAAAAAAAAAAAAAACAGCTAAAAGCAGAAAAACAGTCACTCCTTTACCCTGGAAGAGGCAGAAGACAGTTCCGCCCTGGCTTGTGTCTGAAACAGCTGCAGCTCAGGCAGCCAGTGCTCGGCTGGCCCAGAAACTCCCTGTCCCCGAGGCTCCCACAGCGGTTTCCTTCTGCGACCAGGGCAGCATGTGGCTCTCTGCCAGACTCTAGTCTAAACTCAGCAAGTGATGGATGACCCGCTTCCCTGAATTCTTCGCTGTCCACAGCAGAGCTCCCCTTCCACACTCCCCCATTTCCATGGCTCTCCCCTCTGGAAGACTTTTAAGCCACTTAGGTAGAAAAATCTCCCCCTCCCGTTGAGTCTTAGGAGGGTTAGGAGTGCTCCTTCAGTGGCCTGAGTCCTTTTTTTGTCTGCACAAAGTGTCTCACTTGTAGCATCTTCCTGGTCCTTTCGGGCCCCTGCTCTCTACTTCTGACTGAAGCATATGCGCTCTTACCCAGGACATTTGCTCTTTACCGTTTGACCTGGAGGGTAGGCGTTTGCTCTTCTTGTGACTTTCCTTCTCATGGAGCCCAAGCCACGATTCGCTCCTCTCAACGCACCCCCCAACCCCTGCCGTGGTGCCTGAGCTTTTTTCTGGACTCATTTTTAGGAGATGGGAAACTTGGTCCACATCAGTGTGATTAAATCAAGAAGTTATAACAGAGATGCCTGGGTGGTTCAATCGGTTAAGGGTCTGCCTTCATCTCGGGTCACAATCCTGGGGTCCTGGGATCAAGTCCCACATCAGGCTCTCTGCTCAGAGGGGAGCCTGCCTCTCCCTCTCCCTCTGCCTCCTCCCCGCTGCTTGTGCTCTTGCTCTCATAGTCTCTCTCTCAAATAAATAAAATCTTTAAAAAGAAGTTACAACAGCCCATTTAAAAGGTTTGAAATGAACTCTGATGGGAGCCAGAAGGCTGGGAAAGCTGTCTAACTGAATCCCCACTTGCTGCGGAGACTTGTTTCAGGGGAGGCTGGACAGCTTGGCTGCCTCGTGCGACCATCCTGGTCTTTGTGCAGTTATCTCCTGGTCATGAGGGATCACAGCATCACTAACATTCTCTGCTCTGCCAGAGGCTCTGGGAAGATGCCTTTCTAGAAAGCTGTTGGTTCCTTAACCTCCACCTGGTGCTCAGGTCGCCATCTTCCTGGGCAGAGCTGCACACATCTACCCGCTCTCCTTCTTCCTCAACTTGGGCAGAAGGCACAAGATTGGCTGGAACTTTCAACACATGATGATGTTTTCAGGTAAAAAACTGTACTTGTCAAGAAAAATGAGTTTTATTCGGCAGGAATGCTAGCATGATTAAAATAGCATCAATAAGGTCCATGAAGAGCCAGAAGTTCAGACGCCTGGTTCTTTTGTGTCCCTGCCCTGCTGGGTAGGCTGACATCCATGCTAGAGTTAACTCTGGTTTTGCAAGCTGTACTACCAAATGTGAACGTTTTCCCCCAAAATAGCCACATCTTCATTTTTATCTCTACCACCCATGGGACCTATAGGTATACAAGTATTTAAAGTGCTTGATTATTTTCTGGTCGGCATTCATAATGCTTAATCTTCCAGAAGGGCTCCAGACTTAAAATTTCTAGGTCTTTAATGAGAAAGAATACAGGCCAGGTTGCTCAGTACCTCCCAGCTGCAGTATCCAGTCTTGTAAAATAATGAAATTGAGCTACTTAGTTGAGGTTCCTCCCAGTCCCAACTTTCTCTGAAGCATAAAACAACACAAAACCAACCAAACCGAAAAACCACTTGCATAAGCAAGATGAGCCCCACACTGGAAATTAACAGCTGTGATAGTGCTGTTTGATCTACACTGTCTCCCACATCCACCACCCTCCCCCGCCACCCCATAAAGCTCAGAAGTGTGCAGAAGCCACCAAGGGAACAAAGGACAGTAAAATGCGTGGAGGTAAAGGAAGGAGAGAGCAGCTGGCCTGAGCTGATGGTGCAGTAAGCACGCAGTAAGCGTCAGGCATCATAGATGAGATCCAAGTTAGAGGGTCTTTGTAGAGCAGAGGGAGGAGATGGTGGGGCCGCCGGAGGCCACAGGGATCCTTAAAGGTACCTCTGTCCTCTGTGGGGGATGGGGAGGAACTACGCAAAAGGCAAAGTGAGTAGCAGCCCTTGACTGCAACATGGTGGTTCTCGTTGGGGAGGGGGGTGTCAGAGTCTTCTGGAACTCTCGGCAACAGGCACCGCACCACCACGAAGCAGTTGCTCTGTGTGGTACTTGATTACCTCTGCACTGAAACAGGCCACCTGCTGCAGTGAATGCCTTTCACTCTGACAGCTGTCCACACAGCATCCTCTTTGTAATGCAGCACTCTGGGTTCTGGAGGGGACAAAGACCGCCTCCTTGCCAGACTCCCAGTCTGCTGTGGGGGAGGCAGGTGAGCAAAGAGCTAACTTCCTCTGGAGGGAGCGTGACACACTGCAATCAAGATGGGGAAGAGGAGGGCCTGGGGCCATCTTTACCGAGGGGGCAGCCTTCGTCCTGGGTTTGCCAGAAATGAGTCTCGTGAGGCAGCAGGTTGGACAATCAGGAGAGCGTTGCCAGGCTTTTTCCAGGAAGGGCAGCAGTGTGCTTTCGCTGTAAGACACAGGGGCTAATGCAGAAGGAGGGTCAGGTTGGATGGGGGAAATTGCATCTAGGCTGCTGGGAGCTCAGGTGGCATCAGAACCACCTTTTTGGGCTGGTTAGAGGCCCTTTCGGGGCCCCACCACCAGAGTGCTTCCGCAGGTACAGGGCCCCAGGAATGGGCACTTCTCACGTACTCTTGGCTGCTTCTGCTGCTGCTGCTGCTACTGGTTTGAGGACCACACTTTGAGAACCACTGTTGGAGTCTGGACCCCAAGGAAGCCCCATTGCTGTGCCCAAGAGGTTGGGCTTGACTCGAGAGCAGCCGGGCAACTTTAGAGGTTTCTGAGAAGGGCACACCAGGGTCCTCCTTCCATATCAAGAAGGGGCTGCTGGGAAAGAGCGAGGCCAGCTGTAGATAATTCAGCACCTGGATAAATTTAAAGTATGTTCATTATTTTCTGTACTACAAGACTGTGACGTACACAATGCTGTTTAAAGATACCGTCTCCTGTAAAAGTTACTTCCTGCCGGGAGCAATCTCAACAATTGAAAGGAACTCAGTTCTTTAAAGTGATGAAAAAATCCAAGGCTTCTCTATCGTACAGCATACAGTGTTTACCTGATAAAATCAAGACTACTGTAGCACACGTTGTCTCTCTCTGACCCCCACGCTTTGTTCTTAGAGACAGCATCCTTTTAGAGGCTTAAATATTGATTGTTGACAGTGGTGGCTGTCGGCGTTCTAGATGTGCGTAAGTGTCTCCCTAGGACAGATTAACAGAAAACATTAACTTTGTTTTTTCATGTCATTTTTGGGGAGTCGTTCTGCAGTGAATTGTGAAGTTCTCAGATTAGCGAATTTGCAAAATTATCAGGAAAGGTAGGAAACTACACAAACAGATACAGTGCGGATAACTTTTCTTGCTCTCATACAACATACACAGTTGTCGTGTGCCCCCTCTTCCACTGCTGGTGAACAGGAGCTCATGCCAGGTATCTATTGAAGACCATGGAGTCACTCTTTACTTTAAAACAAATGAGGAGTGTGCTTTGAAGAAGGAACAAAAGAGCTTAGAATGGCAAACATTAAAATGTGGGTGTTTAATCTTTTTTTTAAAAAAACAAACAATATTGGGGCGCCTGGGTGGCTCAGTGGGTTAAAGCCTCTGCCTTCAGCTCAGGTCATGATCCCAGAGTCCTGGGACCGAGCCCCGCATTGGGCTCACTGCTCCGTGGGGAGCCTGCTTCCCCCTCTCTCTCTCTGCCTGCCTCTCTGCCTACTTGTGATCTCTGTCTGTCAAACAAATAAATAAAATCTTAAAAACCAAAAAACCGAAAATATTTTATTAAATATAACATAAGTAAAATCTAATGCAAAATAAAAATATGAGAACTCACATAAAAGAACATATTTGTGAATATATATTAAGAATATTCACAATTGTTTCAATTCCTCTGTGAGTGTTGCACTGTGTAGATCAAAACATATGCTTTTAAAATTAAAGGTAAGAATGTAACTTAACTACATAAAGTTAATTTCTATTTGGCAGGGTTTTTTGTTTTGTTTTTAGTCAAGTTGACACAATGTTTATGTTAGTTTCAGATGTAAACATAGTGATTCAACTTCCCTACGGGTTGTGCTGTACTCACTCTAAGTATTTGGTGCCTAATCTTAATGCCCGTTAATGTGGGTGAAGGGTCAGCGAACTGTAGTCCTGGGGTCCAGTCTGGCTGCTGTCTGTTGTCATACACGCCACGGCTCAGAATGGCTTTTACCAATGGACATCTACAGTCCGCGTCATGAGAGGAGACACTGACTTTGAAATCCAATCAGGTGAAATCTCATCCTCCAAGAGAATCCCACTGTTTGCATTAACGCACCTATATTACAACAAACTGTACTCAGTTATTATGAGTCCATTCTTGGTTTTTGTCAATAAGATTTTGTGGGAATCTGTTTTTTCTCTTATACATCAGTACCTGCACAGTATTCTTAATTTTTCCCCCTTACCCCATAAAGCCTAAGATCTCTAATATCTGACCATTTACAGAAAAAGTTTGCCAGCCCCTGATGTAGATCAAGTTATATCGTTGCTTCTCTGTGTGGCTTTGCTAAGGAAATGCTGACCTGCTCTGTGGTTCGTGGCACAGAAGCCACAAATAGGCATTTGCCACATTCATACCTAGCCTGCTACTTCCATTTATGATGACCGTATAGTGCTGGGATCACAGACCTAGAGAGCTTATGTTTTTATTTAAATTTCTTTTTACTTCATGTTCCTAGCAGAACTATTTCAGCAATAAGAGCATGTTGTTGTCCTAGAATGGGCCATACAAAATAGTGCAGTGTTCTTCTCCTTACATTACGGGCATTTTGAAAAAAAAAAAAAAATCCAACAGGAGAAAAACCACGTGCCCTTAAGTTTCTTCTTTCCAAATGAGACAGCACGTGGGGTCCAGCCATTAGCCCCAAGTGGCAACAGTGCATTTGAGGATACACTGTCATTTGGCCTTGTAACCAAATCTTTTTCTCCTGTCCCTGCAGGCCTCAGGGGGGCCATGGCATTTGCACTGGCCATCCGAGACACAGCATCCTATGCCCGCCAGATGATGTTCACGACCACGCTCCTCATTGTCTTCTTCACCGTTTGGGTCATTGGTGGAGGCACGACGCCCATGTTGTCGTGGCTTAACATAAGGTCAGTTTGAAACCATGGTCAGTTTTGTGTCTAACTGGGTCACTTGTGTCCACCCTGGTGCAGGTGTGTGTGTGGCAGGGGAGACAGCTTAGTGGGTAGAAGGTTCTTAACAGGGTTGTGTTGGGTTGGGTTTGGGGGAGGGATTGAAAATAAAAAGCAATGAGTAAAAATTCAGAATATTGACTTTTCCACGAGAAAAAAAGAAGGTGGGCATGAAAAGTTCTGTTAGTATGACAACACGAGGCCTTAGAAACACTTGGACCTTCCTAGAACAGTGACACTAGGGCAAGAATTCCAAAGTCTTAAAGCTGCAGGCAGGAGAATGGATATCACTGCCGGCAAAGTCAGGCAGTGCACATTCCTGTGAAATCACACCTCTGGCCTTCAGAGCTACCTCATCCACCAGAAACAAAAAGAGGCAATTTGAGTTTTGTTTCTAGGAGGAAATTGATCTGTTTCTTGCTGAAGCGTACCAAAGAGGTGATATTTCCTGTGTCACCATCCTCTGTTGCAGCCTCATGCATATCCCCTGCCTGTGGTTTTGCAACTCGGTCAGGACTGAAAGCCCTGACCAGAATTTGATTTTTTGTTTTTTAAGAGTGTTTGAAGACCAGAGGGGCTGCAAGCTCCAGCACGTTAGGGTAAGGAGGGCACTGGAACAGAGGTCAGGCGTCCCAGAGCCTAGCTCTGGCTCTGGTTCACGGCAAGCCCTTCACATGTCTTTGGGCCTCAGTTTCCCCAAATGCTAAGTGAAAGCATGCCAGCAGACCTTCCGCAGTCCCTTCAGCTCTCAGTGGGTGTGCTCTGCTCATGGGAGGCACCCCCACCACCTCCATCCATTTGCAGTCTGCGGAGGGTGAATGTGATCAGGAGACAAGGCGTGGGTGTGAAGAGGAATTCTCTGGAAAGCCACAAGGTGGCGATGTTTTTCTGTTTTTCTTCTGCCAGCTTTTAGTTCACATTCCCTTCTCTGGAATATAGAATGCCCAGACAACAGCTGCAGAGCCTACCTTAGTTGGGGGGGAGGTGTGCTGGAATTTGGGAGAAAACTGGAATTGGAGAGACCTCCGTAGCCCCATCAAGACTTTTGTCTTGATGGCAGGCAGGGATTCCTGGGCTTGGCCTCTGCCAGCTGCACCGTTTCTGGCCTAGCAAGTCTCAGCCTCACATCCTCATGGGTCTGCAGAAGCTACTCGGGGCTGATCAGCGGCAGTCCCGTAATAGCTAACACTTGTGTGATGCAGGCATTGTACAAGATGCTGCGCCTGTGTTAAGACAATCTTCACAACATTCGGTAGAGAAGCTACGAATATGCTCTTCATTTTAGAGTTGATAGAACTGAGGCCCAGAGAAATAACTTGTCCAGGTCACAGAGCTTTAGGGGGATGGGCCGGGATTTGGGCCCTGGCAGTCTTGGCACCCAGTCCACAGGCTGAACTGCTGTGTTCTACCACCTGTGAGAAGGTGGATGGTGTTGGGCACCTCTGTGTTGTGAAATTTGGGATGACCAGAACTTTGAGTTCCTGGTATGAATCTCAAGAGTTGTATTAAGGAAAATAATTCATCATGGGAATATGAACCTAAAGAAGAAAATGGACAGCTTTTTGGCTCTAAACCTGACACATGTAATGGTACCATTTTTGTTCTGTGTTAGAATAAAGGTAAGAAAGGAGGTTTACTCTGCACACAGTTGAGAATCTTTAAGAATCTCAAGATTAAGGGCGCCTGGGTGGCTCAGTTGGTTGGGTATCTGCCTTCGGCTTGGGTCATGATCCTAGCTAGGGTCCTGGGACAGAGCCCCACACTGGGCTCCCTGCTCAGTGGGAAGCCTACTTCTCCCTCTACTACTCCCCTGCTCTCTCACTCTATCATTCTCTCAAATAAATCTTTTTTTTCAAAGGTTGTATTTATTTATTTATTTGACAGAGATCACAAGTAGGCAGAGAGGCAGGCACAGAGAGAGAGGGAAGCAGGCTCCCCGCCGAGCAGAGAGCCCAATGTGGGGCTCGATCCCAGGACCCCGAGATCATGACCTGAACCGAAGGCAGAGGCTTAACCCACTGAGCCACCCAGGTGCCCCTCAAATAAATTAAATCTTTTTAAGAAACAAGAATCTCAAGATTGGCCTCTGAGATTACTTTCTGCTCCTGTTTTTCTGGTCACTCAGCAGGTACCTGGATGCTCAGAGCCTGATTAAATCACGTTGGTTTTTCATCCTGATTTATAGGCCCTCCCACACACTACACACATGTATAGGCAAATAATTTCCCACCAATAGGAGAGTTGACTTGTGACATTTTGCACTTCCGGTAACCCTTTTCCAAATTGGGCCACTCACATTGTCCTTTCCAGAACTGAGAGTGTGTGTAGCTTTCCCTGAGGCACATAAGCTATATATACAAATATAATAACTTTATCATCATGGAAATATCCATGTAACGTACAGATAGCACCTAGAACATAGCAGCTAGTGCCCAGAGAGGAATCGGGAAATGATGATATGTATGACTGGGCATAGGAGAGATCTCATTTCTCCACATCCTCACCAGCATTTGGTGTTACCACTCTTCTTTTTTTTTTTAAGATTTTATTTATTTATTTGACAGACAGAGAGCACAAGTAGGCAGAGAGGCAGACAGAGAGAGAGGAGGAAGCAGGCTCCCTGCTGAGTAGAGAGCCCAATGCAGGGCTTGATCCCTGGACCCTGGGATCATGACCTGAGCCGAAGGCAGAGGCTTTAACCCAGTGAGCCACCCAGGTGACTCTCCTTCATTGTAGGTCTAATAGGTGTGTGGATGTACCTCCCTGTGGCCTCACTTTGCATTTCTCTAATGACTAATGATATCAAGCATCTCTTCGTGTGCTTATTGGCCATTCTTGTATCTTCTCTGATGAAACACCTGCTCAAACTCTTTGTTTTCTAATCAGATTGTTTGGGTTTTTTTAATTGAGTTTTGAGTTATTTATTTATTATAGATACTAATCTCCTGTCAGAGATGTGGTTTGTAAGTATTTTCTTTGAGGTTGTGGCTTGTCTTTTAATCCTTTTAGTAGAGTCTACCATACAACACAAGTTTCAGTTTTGAGGGAGTGCCATTTATAATTTTTTTCCTTTTAGTGTTCTGCTTGACATTTAAGTGTGTGGTCCATTTTCCGTTGATTTTTATATAAGATACAAGGTTTAGGTTGAGATTTTATCTTATTTGCCTAAGACCATTCAGTCGTTCTGGCAATATGTTAAAAAGACTGGTCTTGGGGCACCTGGGTGGCTCAGTCATTAAGCATCTGCCTTCGGCTCAGGTCATGATCCCAGTGGGATCGAGCCCCACATCAGACTCTCTGATCTGCAGGCAAACTGCTTCTCCCTCTCCCTTTGCTGCTCCCCCTGCTTGTGCTCCCGCTCTCTCTCAAATAAATAAATAAAATCTTAAAAAAACAAAACAAAACTAGTCCTACTCCATTGAATTACTTTTTCTCCTTTGCCAAAAATCAGTTGGCTGTATACACGTGGGTCTGTTTATGTTCTGCTCCACTGACGTATGCATTCAACCCTCCAACGGGACCACATTGTCCTGATAACTATTGTTATGTAATAAACTTTAGCATCATGTGAGGCGAAGCTTCCCACGTTATTCTTTTTTCAAAATTGTCATAGCTGTTCTAGTTCCTTTCCATATATATTTTAGAATAACCTTGTCTATCTCTAAAAAAAATGTCACTGAAATTTTCACAGGAATTGTGTTAAACCTATATATCAGTTTGGGGAGAATTGCCATCTTTATTATGTTGACTCTTCCAATTCATGAATGTGTCATGTTTCTTCATTTATTTAGATTGTATGGTTTTCAGCATACAGCGCCTGTCCGTGGTTTGTTAGATTGTTTTTTTAAAGATTTTATTTATTTATTTGACATACAGAGGGAGAAATCACAAGTAGGCAGAAAGGCAGGCAGAGAGAGAGAGAAGAGGAAGCAGGCTCCCCGTGGAGCAGAGACCCCGATGTGGGGCTCGATCCCAGGACCCTGGGATCATGACCTGAGCCGAAGGCAGAGGCCTTAACCCACCGAGCCACCCAGGTGCCCCCCTTGTGATTTTTTTTAAATGAAAGATTTTATTTATTTATTTGACAGAGATCACAAGTAGGCAGAGAGGCAGGCAGAGAGAGAGGAGGAAGCAGGCTCCCCGCTGAGCAGAGAGCCCGATGCGGGGCTCGATCCCAGGATCCTGAGATCATGACCTGAACTAAAGCCAGAGGCTTAACCCACTGAGCCACCTAGGCGCCCCAAAGGTTTTATTTATTTATTTGACAGAGCACAAGTAGGCAGAGCAGTAGGCAGAGAGAGAAGAGAGAGAGAAGTAGGCTCCCCTCTGAGCAGAGAGCCTGTTGCGGGGCTTGACCCCAGAACCCTGGGATCATGAGCCGAGCTAAAGGCAGATGCTTTACGGACTGAGCCACCCAGGCGCCCCACTATTCTATCTTTCCAGTTTCCACGTGTTCACTGCTAGGATATAGAAATACAATTGGTTTTTGTTTTTTGTTTGTTTTTTAGAGAGGGAGAGGGGGAGAAGAGTAGAGGGAGGGAGAGAGATAATCTCCAACAGGCTCCACGCCCAGCATGGAGCCAGATGTGGGGATGGATCCCACGACCCTGAGATCATGACCTGAGCTGAACCCAAGAGTTAGATGCTTAACCGACTGCACCACACAGGCAGCCTGGTTTTTCTATGTTGATCTTGTATCCTGTGACCACGTTGAACTCATTTATTAGTTCTAGGAGGGTTTGGTTTGGTTTTGTAACTTACTTGAGATTTTCTACATAGGCCATCACATCATTTGCAAACAGAGGCACTTTTATTCCTTTTTTTCCAACCAGTGTACCTTCTGTTTCCTTTTCTTGACTCACTGCTCTGGCTAGGACTTCTAGTATGACGTTGAGTAACAGTGCCATGAGCGGACATCCTTGCCTTGTTTCCAGTCTTAAGGAGAAAGCATTCAGTCTTTCACCAATAAGTGTAACATTAGCTGTCGGGTTTTTGTAGATGTTTATCATCATTAAGTTGAGGGAATTTCTATCTGTTGCTAGGTTTTTGAGCGTTTTTTGTTCTTATCATGAACAGGTGTTGAATTTTGTCAAATGCTTTTTCTGTATCTATTGATGTGGTCATATTTTTCTTGTTTAGCTTGTTAATATGGTAGGTTACATTGATTAATTTTCTTTTTTTTAAGAGAGAGAGTAGATACATGAGTGGGGGAGGGGCAGAGAGAGAGAGAGAATCTTAAGCAGGCTCTACACCCAGCGTGGAGTCCAATACAAGACTTGATCTCAAGACCCTGAGATCATGACCTGAGCTGAAATCAGGAGTCAGGTGCGTAACTGACTGAGCCACCAAGGCACCCCCCTTTTTCTAAAGTAATTTTCAAATATTTAACCAGCCTTACTTCCCTAAAACAAACCCCAGTTGGTTACAGTGTATAAATTTTTTATATATTGCTGAATTCTATTAGCTATTATTTTCTTAAAGATTTCTATGCTCTGTGTTCATGAGGGATATTGGTTTACCATTTTCTCTTTTTTTGGTACTGCCTTTTTCTATTTTTCTATTTTCCTTTTTCTATTGTATTTTGTACTGCCTTTTTCTATTTTACCAATCTGATATTGGTATCAGAGTAATCTGGCCTCACAAAACGAGCTGCGATGTGTTCCTTACTCTTCTGTTTTCTGGAAGACATCATGTAGAATTTGTGTTAACTCATCTTGAAAGCTTAATGGAATTCTCCAGTAAAACCATCTGGTCCTGGAGACTTCTTTTTCCAGAGTTTTCAAATTGTGAAGGCAATTTCTTTAATAGTTATAGGGCTGTTAAGATGATCTCTTTCATGGGGCACCTGGGCTCAGTTGATAAAGCATCCAGCTCATGATTTCAGCTCACGTCATGGTCTCAGGGTCATGGGTTTGAGTCCCACATTGGGCTCCATACTCAGTGGGGAGTCTGCTCGAGATTCCCTCTCTCTCTCCCCCCACTCTCATGCTTGCTCTCTCTCTCTCAAATAAATTAATCTTAAAAAAAAAGATTATCTGTTTCATATTGGGTGAACTGTAGTAGTTTGTGAAATTGGTCCTGTTTCATATAAGTTGTCAAATTTATGTTGTTTGTAGCATTACCTTATTATTCTTTTCACATCTGTGACATCTATAGTGTCATCTATATGACTCCTTGTTTCATTCCTGATATTGGACATTTATATCTCCTCTCTTTTTTTCTTTCAGTCTTGCTAGAGGTTTGTCAATGTTATTGATCTTTTCAAAGAACCAGCTTTTTGTTTCATTGATTTCCTATATTGTTTTTCTTCTCTCCATTTCTTTGACTTCTGCTCCTATCTTTATTCTTTCCTTCTTTCTGTCCAGCTCTGCCCAGACAGCATAATGAAGCAAATAGGTAAACAATATGTTTGGTGTCAGTACTTTGCATTTTCCAGATTTGTTTAAATAATGATTGTCTGAGTATAGAAACTGACAGATATAGAGATTACATGAAAAGAAATTCCCTCAGAAATAAAGAAATAATGAGATTCATTGGTTTCTCTGGCCTGTGGTTTCTGATGTTACTTCGTGAATATGAATCATTTATGTGAACCAGGTTCTTATTCTAAAATTCTTCAGAAACCCCCTGAAGTTCAGTGTGGTGTTTTGAGCTCTATGACCTAAGTAAAATCAACACCTACCCATTCCTTATTTCTCCAGGCTACGGACAGAGGCCCTTATGAGGTGTTAAGTGGCTGCTCAGAAGTCAGAAGCCCAGGGTGGGATTCCGAGTTCCACCATAAATAATGAGGAGTTAGTTGTGATTTTTTACCATGGCTAAGTTCTAGTCTGTGTGTAAAATAAAAATGAACGTGACCCAAATCCAGAGCCAGGTTACTGCTTTCCAGAAATCCAACTTATCTTTTTAAAATCAGTATGTGGTGATTGATACTTTAAAACATGATGGCGAGACGCTCAAATTGTTTTCTGGTAATGCACAAACTACATATTTTTCTTAGTCCCTTGAGCAGATATTGTTATTCACACGGGATGTAATGTTGGCAATTTAACAAGGTGACCACAGGACTGTTTCAGCAAAGGAGCCTGGTATGTGTGCAGAGCACATTTGGGCAGCGTGGTGGCTCTTTGGAGCCGCCAGCTTCAGGTGACACACACATGAGATGGTGGTGAAGGTGGGGTCGGAGTGGCACACGCCCAGGCATCCGGGTAGCCCTCACACCCCACAGCGCAGCCATGCAGACACTCCAGGACAAGGAAGGACACTCTGCTCAGTATAATCCTATTAGACTGAGAATTTACGATTTGCCAGATACTGTGAAGAGTAAAGGCAGGGAGAAGCCCTGAGCTCTTTATGTAATAGCATTTGTAACTGGATATTTGAAAAGCGTTTTTAAGGACGCCAACGTGTAATCGTAGGATGGATCCCGGGGCGTCTGGGTGGCTCAGTTGGTTGGGTGTCCCGACTCTTGGTTTTGGCTTAGGTCATGATTTCAAGGTCGTGGATGGAGCCCCATGTTGGGCTCAGCGTTAAGTCTGCTTGGGTTTCTCTCTTCCTTTCCCTCCGCCCCTACCCCCTACCCCCCTCTCAAATAAATAAATTTTTTTTAAGATTTTTTATTTATTTATTTGACAGAGAGAGATCACAAGTAGACGGAGAGGCAGGCAGAGAGAGAGAGAGAGAGAGAGGGAAGCAGGCTCCCTGCTGAGCAGAGAGCCCGATGCGGGACTCGATCCCAGGACCCTGAGATCATGACCTGAGCCGAAGGCAGCGGCTTAACCCACTGAGCCACCCAGGTGCCCTAAATCTTTTTTTTTTAAAGGGTGGATACTGTGAGGTGAAGAACTGGGGCTCTGGGGTCTAAGAGCCTCAGCCACAGTCTTGGTTCCACCATTTTCTACCTTTGTGACCTTGGGCAACTTATTTACCTCTTTGACTCAGTTTCCTCACCTGTTTAGATGGGGACAGTAGTGCAAGGATAAAATAAATGTGATAAAGAATTCTCTCATGAAGTGTACCATCTGAAAAAGAAATAAAGGTACCATCTGGCATATAGTAAGCATTTAGTATCTTTTAACTATTAATTATTATATATTATGTATGTTATATATAACTTTATTATGTTATCATTACAAATCATAACATCAGTACTACTCCCATTGCTATTATTATTATCAGTGAATCTTACCTTAATGGAGACCAGTTTGCTTTTCTGGAATTGGTTACAATTTTTCAGTAGTATAGTAAAATAGAGAATCTGCTCTAAGTCATATTCTGAGCAGGTGACTTGTTCAGGTACCCCTTAGGAAGCATAGCTCATTCTCACTTGCAGATTCCCAGGGATTTCAGTAGCGTAAGAAGTTGGGCATTGTCTAGCACAGTGTTTTTCCACATTGTTTTCATTGTTGTTCCCCTACAAGGAACCCTTCAAAAATGTTTTTCTCCCGATTACCTCTTCCAGTGAAATCTTAATACCACAGATCTGGAAAAAAAAATAGCACAGATCTGCTATAGACTTTTTATGTAGGATCATGCTTTAGAGGGTATAAAGCATTGTAATGTCTAAAACTTTTGGTCTCATAAGAACCAATATTCACACCCATGGGGACAGTGCCACCCCCAACTGATAATACATGATTTAGTGCAGTGGTTCTCGATTGAGGGCAATTTGCCACCCAGGGGCCATTTGGCAATGTCTGGAGATAAAATTTTGAGTTGCCTCAACTGCGTTGGGGGCTGCTACTGGTATCTTGGGAGGTAAAGGCCAGGGCCTGAAATGTCAATAGTGCCAAGATCGTGAAACACTGGTGTTAGTCTGATGGCAAGGTTCAGATGTACCCTGAATACAACCCAGAAATTGTTAAAACAGGTACAAAGGGACCATGTCAACTCTAAGGCACAAGAGAAAGAGAAGAGCAGAAGTTGAGTTCCTGACCTTCAGGAACCCTTGGACAACGCAGTTTACTTGTGTCCAAAAAAAGAAAAAAAAAAAAGCCATCTTTGTCTTTTTAAGTATTGTTGCTGTTTTCAACAATATGGTGCTTTTTGCTCTTTCTGTCGAATATGTGTCAAAATATGTGTAAACACTTCAAATACGTGTTTCGTAACAACTTTGTTTTCTGTTTTTCCTATGGATGTACCTTGCGCTATGGAACAGGTGAATTCCTGAAAACTTGTATAAATTCATTTTCCACGAGCTGCACGCATTCCTCTGGTTTCCTTACATGATCTTTTGAGAGGCTTCCCCTCCTTCCCAATTGATCCTGATTGGGCCTAGCTCCTAACATTGTTGCTTTAAATTTAAATTTAGCAGCCTCTCTGGGTTTGCGAGAATGGGTACAGTTTCAGAGAGGGTACGGATCTCTCTTCAGAGTGAGTCCGCCTGTTCCTTGATGGGCATGGTCCGGGTCCTGTGCCCAGAGCTCCTGGCTCCATTGTGCTCCCCACATCACACTCACGTTCCCTTCTGCTGCTGCCCAGAGTTGGCGTCGAGGAGCCGTCCGAAGAGGACCAGAATGAACTGCGCCGGCAGTACTTCAGGTGACATGAAGAAATCCTCAGAAACAAATTAACTGCGCCTGGCTTTTCTCTTCCTTCTAACCTGACGTGTTTCTCTTGATGCCGTTTTGTCTCTTTCTTCCTTCCTGTGTGCGCCCACCCTCTGCCCCTTTCAGCCAAGGGGCAAGAGGTCGGGTCAAGTCTAACCCCTTTTCCACCCTGTCTCTGGGTTGCTTGCTGGCTCGGTGTTCCTGAGGTTCCGTTCTCTGTCCCTGCATACTAGGCAGTGTGTGTCCCCACCAAAGCCGGAGTTGGCAACGGTCTCCCCTCTTACACAACTGAGCTTAGTGGCCAGAGCGGTCCATTCTCAGAGCCGCAGACACATCTTACACAAAGTCTTAGTAAAACAAGGCTGTTCACTCATGAAGAGAATTAGGATTTGGTATGTCTGCCATGACTGGGGTAGGGCTTACACCATCGGAATGAAGTACCAGTGCTTTTGAGTAGTTTTTAAAGTATGTAAGTATGTACTCGTACCTTATGGGGAATCTGAAGATACAAAAGCAGTTTTGTTTTATTTTTTAGAAACCCAAAAGATAAAGACTCTGGTAATGCAGTTAGGTTCTCAGTGTCCACCCAAGTTCATGATCCGATTAGGCTTCAGGGAGGGAGCCATGTGGGGCAAACAGAACAAAGACTTTAATGTTTCCTTTGCCCTTGCTGCGTCTTTATCAGCGTGTGTTCTTCCCAACCTGGTTCTCAGTGCCAGTACGTAAATCAGGGCACAGTAGGCTTGAGCTCTGTTCCTCCCACTGTGAAAGGACGTCACCCTCTGAGGGCAGTGGAGACAACAGCCCTGCTCATCACCGGCCATGGACGCTGTGAAATCACAGCGCTCCGGATGGGCCGTAACGATGTGTATATAAGTAATGGAAGCTGTTAAGATCCCTGGGTTCACACTTTCTTTCTGCTGTTTAAAACACACACACACACACACACACACACACACACACACATGTTCACTTTTTGGAGGCCTGACTTTAGGTAGCACTTAAGGTACAGAGGAAACCCTTTCTTTTGAAATATCCCACCTTCAGGAAGGAAGGTCCTTTGGGCAAAGCGCAAGTTATTACACTTGGGACATGAGAGCATTCAGACTGTGATCTGGAGTTCAAGGTTTTACAGGAAGGCATGTGTCTCCTAGTCCTGCAATGATTTAGAGCCTCAGCCATTCACATTTTTGAAAAATCACCGGTTAAAGTAGAACACCTCTAAAATTCCTGGGATTTCCTGGCATTTTAGATGGCAGCTCGTCAGAATGTACTTACACTCATACCAGAAAGGAAATTATTCATGTTCTTGTTTTCATTCCAGAATGAGCACATTAGTTTGATTGCTCTATTTTCTCACTTGGCGTGACACTGAACGACATGTAAAGTGCAGCAGTAGTCCTGTAAGCCACTTTTCAACTGCTTAGGGGCTGGCCACATGTGGCTGGTGGCTAGCACATTGGACAGTGCAGATCTAGAAAGCTGCAGTAAGTTCTGTTGGACAGCATGGATCTAGAATCATTCCCGAGTTCCCCCGAAGAAAAAAACACTGAACATCACGAGTTTGCGATGAGTTCAGGGTGACCCTACTTTTGTGATGTTATCAAGTTATTTCACCATTTTGTGCTTTGTTATGTTGAATTCTGACCTGACCACATGGGCCCAGGATAAATAGATGGGTCCCACCAACACTGCCAGAACTTGAATGAAAATAGTCACAACCTAGTCTTCATAAGCAGTTCTTGGTGAATAGAATTTAATTCTTGTTAACCAAGTTTTTTTCCTTTTAATAGACATTAGTTAAAGGCCTAGAGGGGGCAAAATTTCATTCAGCAGCTTCTATTATATTGGGTTTTATTTTCGTTACTGTAATACAGGGCGTCCTCAACCTATTTTACCTAGGACAGTAACGTCAACGTGTTTTATCTTTGCTGACGCGGAGGCCATTTACGAAGGCCTTTATTTCACATATTTCACAATTCACAGTATAGAAAGGAGAGATTATTAGTGGCAGACCTGGACTGCCACATTCTTGGCCAAACTGTGCCTCATACCCTTCAGATCAGATAATCTCATTGCTCCTGCCCCACAGTCTGGTCAGAGCTGGTGGTTAGGCCGAGGGCTGCTGTGTCACCTGGCATTCCGGGAGGCTGTCGGAGAAAGAGCAGGGGAACCGGCACTCCGCCCCTCTGAGTCTGCACTGGGGAGCTCATCTGAGTAAACAAGTCTGCCGTGAAGTGGCTTTGTGCTGCTGTAGGCCACAAAGCAGGGCCTAACGTTGGATTCCTAGCTGTCGATACCACAAGTGCAGACCGAGCTACCAGACAGGACTCTTCTCTGGGGGATTGTGTGTTAAGAGTGTCTGAAACAGGTGAGGTCTCAAAATCAGGAGCTAGGAATTCCATATGTGACCTCTCGGCTAACACTTTGATACACTAGACACATCAGGTACATTGAGGCTCTGGTGGGAGGACTTTTGGGGGACAGCCCTGAATTGCATGGGTCTCGTGTCAGAAAATCTCTGTGAGACTTGTTGTTCAAAAGTCCTCAAATAACATCCAGTTAGGAGGACAAGCCTCCAAATCTCAGACTCTCCAGCCTCAAAGCAGCCCCTAGACACATAGCAAAGTCCATCGAACTCACTGCAAAAATTCTACCAAAGCCCAGGCCTGTAGGTAGGAAATCTGGTGTCAGGTACCCTAGAGTTTAAATAGAGCAGAACCTGGTGTCACGGGCACTCAGTAAAGATTTGCCGAATACACGAATTCATCTTGTGGTTTTAAACTTCGCCTTCAGCAACATACGGGCTCTCTGTTCCCTTTCCCTCCATAGTTCCCCCTTTCCAGGGACACACACCTCGGGTTAGTGCTTAACAGAGCTGTGCTAAGACAGGGTAGACATTGGCTTTCAGAGGTGGGCACATCTCTGTTGTCTTCTGTTTTCATTTTCAAGAAATAACCTGGACATCATAGGTAGGAAAGAGGGAGGGAGAGGAAGATAAGTAAGGTGCACACACGTGGGTTTTTGTAGTCTGCTGTCCACTCACTGGAGCCAGCACCCCAGTACTGGACTGCCAAGACCCTTGGGTGAAGCTATTCAGCACCTCCCTTCAAGCTTGAGTCAGACCTGCCAGAAACCATGTTCTTGGTTTATAGTTCTTTGCAACACTGGAGGGAGCATGGGAAGGCAGAGAATTTTCCTGTCCTCTTTGTTTTCTCCACCCTCCCCCTGTGATCGAGGTCACAGTCCTCCGCCTCAGGGTGTGGAAGGTACAGGGATGAAAAATTAACAGGTGCACAAGACAACAGCTGGTGTGTTACTAAGCCAAGATGACTACCCTAGTCAAAGCATGGGATCTGTTGTAAGTGGATTTTGCCACTTTGCTTTTTCTTTCTGTCTTCAGTTGTTGATCTTAAAAGAGTCACTTCTCAGGTCATCTCAGCTGTGGGAGGACATGGGGGCAGCAGGATAAGACGTTAATGAAATGTATGCCCAAGTATTTAGGGGACGTGTACTGATGTCTGCAACTTTATTTGAATGCATCTAAAAATTAAGATGGATGATAGAGAAGTGGAGAGAATGCAATAAAGAAACTCTAGCAGTATGTTAACAGTAGAGTCTCCATGGTAGATATATAGGTGTTCACCATAAATTCTTCTGGCACCACCCTGGATGTATGAAAAATGGTGGAACAGAAATTTAGGGAATGGAAAGCAGGTCAGGGCAGACGTGAGGGAGCAGCAGAAGGGAAAAGACATGGGGCAATGAGCCCCATGTTTGGATAATGGACCCTCTGGTGCAGGAAGACAGAGGGACAGTTGGGTGCCCTTCCCCAGTGGCCTCATGTAGGCTATAAGCACATAGTACCACTTGCCTCTCCTGCCCCCGGGATCTGACATGGAACATGACCTCTTTCTCCCGACTTTTGCATGACAGCCTTCCTCTTCTAGCTAACTACTCCTTCCGCTTCCGGAAGATGGCTGGCCTCTTGGCTACTTCCAGCCAGCATGGCTGCCGTGGTCCAAGCTAATGCTTTCCCTTTTTCTCCTTGTCTCTCTCCCTGGTGACTTACAGAGTTGGTGTTGACCCAGATCAAGACCCACCACCCAACAACGACAGCTTTCAAGTCTTACAAGGGGTAAGTCACAAGAGGTGCTTCTTCAAGGGAAGACACTGTTCTAAAGAGCTACAATGTAGTGAGCACTTACTATAGGCCGGGTTCTCTTTACATAGATTTCCTCACCATGACCTTGATGGCAGCCTTATGAGGGAGGTCCTGTTGTCCCCATTTTGCAGATTAGAAGCTGAAGTTTGAGAGTCTCAGTGAGTCATCAACAGTCAGAGGATTAGAAAGTGATGAAGCCGGGGTTAGACCCTAGGGTCGGCATTTTTAAAACACCATATGGGGGTGGTATGCCAGCCAGGAAGAGCATTCCAGCTAAGTCCCTGACTGCCTGCCTTCTGAGAATGGATAGACTGGGTACACTGGTGACTGGCTCACTGTCCCCGGGTCAGAGTCTGTCTGTAGTGCCCAGGCAGGGGAAGGCAGGGGATGGGGTCTGACTCTGCAGCCCAGGAATCTGAGGAGGAGAGGAAGGACGTGGGTGATTTCAGGCCCTCCCACTCCTCCAGGCCCGGGATCCTCTCCTGCTGAGTTCCCCACAAGCCCAGGAATGGCTGAGCAGGGACCCTCACCCCGACCGCCTAGGACAGAAGGTCACCCCCAGGTGGACCATTAGGGCTTAGGCAGGGTGGTGGCAGCAGTGACAGCCTGGGACAGCATGCCGGGGAGGGAAGCTGTCGAGGCTGGGATCAGAGGAGCCCCGTGGCAACATTGAGTGTGACGAGCAGGGACATGTACCCGCTGCCACGGAGAATTCTGACAGAGTCCGCGTGGCCGAGAGGAACTCCTGGCCTGCGGTTTGGCCATCTGTTCCAGTTACTGTTGCTACGTAACCAGCTGCATCATGCAGAGGAAAGGGAGCGACAGTTTCTTTCACTCACGGATGCTCTAGTCGGCACTTTGGAAAGGGCATAACAGGGGCAGCTTGTCCTTGCTCGAGCAGGAAGCTGGGGGCCAGAATCGGCCAGAGACTCATTCGCTCATCTGTGTGGCGCCTGGGCTGGGAGGACCCGAAGAGGAGGACAGCCCACTGCAGTGCCCACACGTGGTGCCTGCACGTGGCCTGGGGGCACTGGGCCCCTTCCCCAATGACTCAGGGTTCCCGCAGCTGGGCACCGCCTTTTCTGACCTGATCCTAAAGGTCTCAGGACCTTCTGGTCACCTCTGGGACTCACTGGTGGTCGCACTTGAGTTGCTCAAGCCAGCCCAGATGCAACGGGAGGGGAGAGAGATCATAACCTCTTCATGGGAAGAGCATCAGCGAAGTGGCAGACGTGAGTGCGGGCTGCCACAGGACCCTTGCTGTGTCCCCGGGGTTTGCTTCCTCCCAGGGCCGGCGTTTCCTGGGCTGGCCGGGCTAGGTAGAGACAGGCTATGCTAAGAGCAAAAACGTGTTACCAAAATGTTACCAATGCCCCCCTCCCCACCGGGTCCAGAACTCTTTTGTGCAGCATGGCAGAAAGCCTTACCCAACCACACGCATGCTCCGTCTGTGACCGTATTGGGTGTCGCTTTCTCTCCAGTCAGTGGAATCACACTCCATCCTAAACCTACTCTCTATATTTCAGACGCCAGAGGACCTTCTAAATGACTCCAGCCCTTGAAGCCCATTAAACAAGTGTTGCCTACGGTGGTGCCCTGTGGGGCCTGGGAGTGCCGCTGTGGCTTTTCCTGATTTCTTTCTCTTTGAGGGTGGTCATGTCTTGGTGGCAGTGCCCATTCAGGGTCTCAAAGCCACAACCTCTGAAAGGGCGGGACATTTTAGGAAGAGTTTTCAGTGAGCTTCATGGAGAATGATAGGACACCCACTTGAATGGTGCTCCAGAGAAATTCTTCTTGAAAGGTTGCCATTGGTCCCTACCTTGGATTAAGGAGTTTAGAAACCGAGGGTTTGGGAATTGTGTACCTGGAAGCTAATTTAGAGTCTAACAGGGAGATCTTGAAACTCACCCTGAGGAAACCTGGGTGAAGTGTCTTTCTTTCACTGGAAGGAGAAGAAGGGCTCTGCAAGGATAAAAATGGCCTGCTCCAAAGCTTCCTCCCCAGGACCACAGCTGGTCCAGATGAATTTTGAAAGAAAACAGGCTAATTCCAGCTGGATAGCCAGGGTTTGGACAGATTTCATCTTGTTGGTTCCAGACTCGTCAGACACCCCCAGCCCTTTTGCTGTTTGTTTTTCATTGCTCCTGCCTCTGGATTTAAGCATCTGTGAAAGGAAAAGCATGAAATGTTTTGGTTGCTTTCCTGTAGCCGAACTCACCTTCCATCTCATAAGAACTTCAATGGAGACACTGGGCTTATAACTAAGTCACAAGCTTGCTGTCACTGTTCCATGGAAATGTTGGAGAAAGCAGTGGGTCCTGAGTGTTAAGGGTTGGGGCAGTGCATTTAGTGTGGGGCAGTGACTGCTCCCTGCCCCAGGCGGAGTGTGTTTCAGAAACCTCCCTTGGTGGGCCTGGGTCTTCAGTGTCCTCGATGGCTCCCTGGGGGGACCTTTGGGCCAGTTGTGAATGTGCCCTTAGTGGTGACTTCTGCTGGACTCCCAGTGGCACCCGGTGGCCCGCCCTAGCCAGGAGCTGGTGTCATGGCTTTCCCTTAATCTCTCTCCTTCCGAGCCTCAAACATAGTCATGCCGAGGGCCCTCAGAATCCATTCCACTGGCGTTGTGGAAGTCTTTCAAGATTGCTGTCAGACTGGGGGGAAAAAAGGCGACTTCAAGCTTGGTTTCCCAGGGCACCTTCTTAAATAGGACTCATGTCCTTGTACTTAACAGGCCTTACATCTCTCAGACCTCCTGACCTGACCTTCTCAGTCCAGTGAGCCACTAACAGCCGGGCTGGGAGCACTTAGTGGTCATGAGCAACAATAAAACAGAGAAATAAATGGGCTTCTCATTTTTGGGTAAAATCCTGGGTTCTTGCAGTTTCCCCTGAAATGGATCCAGGTCACACGCTTAGTGATGTCATGAAACTGCAGTCATAAATGGGGAAAGTCCAGATGTTTGTTCCCCATCAGAAAAGAAAGGGCAGTTCTCGTTACCTCATTATCTAAATGATCTTCCTAAAAACAAAGAGGAAAGTGACATTTTGATGGAAATGAATTTCTTAGGACAACGTGATTTTCCTCACTGGTTCTAGAAGCCCAAGAGTTCTGGCTACAGAACTACAGAATATTAGCTCATGTGGGAGAAGGAAAGGAGCTTTTGGCTAGAACTTCTGGCTTTGTGTGAGGGAAGCATAAGAATATTGTGGGCAGACTTCTGCTTCACGTCCCTGGCAAGTTTGACTCATTAGAACAAAACAAAACAAAAAAACCTCAGTTGCTTTGTTTCTCCAGAGGTCTTGGTGACTCTGCAACCAAAACAAAAACAAGCCCAGCTGGAGGCAAGCTGCCTGGGCTTGGGGGTGACCTCCCACCCCATTCGAGGGGGACCTTTTCATGCCAGACAGAGACCTCATTCACTTCCTTCCCCAAGTTAACAGAAGAGCACACATTGATGGGGCTGCTTTGGAGTAGCTAGGAGCGTGAATTCGAATTTATCCTAGCTTTATCATCTCAGCAGGACCAGGCCACAAGCAGGATATGAGTGGCGTGTGAAGGAAAGGGAACTACTGGCTTGTGGTGCGCGTGTGCGTGCGCTCACAAGTGCACACGAGCACACAGAAATTGACATGTAGCTTTCTGGGTCCTTCCCCAGTTTTCCTCTAGGCTGAAACCTGATACCCAGTTACTTAAATCTTTGACTTCAAACAGTTGCGGAAGGGCCTTTTCTCAAATTCCTCCTCTTTGTCCCTACCAACACCATGCTTTTCTTTTTTGTTCTTCTGATCCCTCACCTCATCCCCCCACCCCCACCCCTTTGTCCCAGACTTCCCTTTTGGCCTTTCTTTTTTTTTTTTTCTTAGAAGTGCAGAATTCACATTAATTTAGTCATGCATTTGACAAATACTTACTGAGCACCTGTTATGTTCCGGACAATCTTTCAGGCCCTTGGGATACATCTGCAGACCATGCACATGAACCTCCATTCTTAAGGGTGTGGTGACAGTGTGATGAAGGGGACGGTAAGGGTGGAGAGTGCCAAAGGTGAGGTCCGTAGATCTGTCCTTGCTGCTCTGAGTGTCCCCGTGGACCAGAAGCCTGGGTATCCCCAGAGAGCTTATTAAAATGCTGACCATCAGGCCCCACCTAGACCCACTGACTCTGAACCCACATTTTAACAGGGTTCCCAGGAGGGTCGTGTGCCCATTCCTACTTTGAAAAACCCTGGAGTGGGCATTGTGTAGCTCTCGATTCCCTGTTTTTAAAACCTGTTATTACTCCCTTGTGAGAGTCGTTGGCTCCACCATCCCAGGGACAAGAAAAGGAAAGGCCCAAATTGGGTCACATCACTTCCTTGCTTTTTTGCTCTGCATTGGATTTCTAAGGCCACTGCAATAAATTCCCGCAGACTCAGGGGCTTAAGACACTGGTCTTATATTCTGTAGGTTAAAAGTTTGGCGGGCTCCGCTGGTTTCTCTGTTTCAAGACCGAAATTAAGGTGTCGGCGGGGTTGGACTCTGGGGGAGAACCCACTGCCAGGGTCATTCCGATTGCTGGTAGAATTCAGTTATGTGGTTGTAGGACTAAAGCCCCATTTCCTTGCTAGGACCATTGGCCCTGGGTCAAGATCCCATCCTAGCAGCACCTGCATGTGCTGGTTCATGGCCCCCTCTGTCTTCAAAGTCAGCAACAGCGGGGCAAGTCCTTATCACACTTTGTATCTTTCCTGCCTTTTCTTCCACTGCAACTCTCTGACTCTTTTGCCCTTGTCTACTTTTAAGGGCCTGTGTGATTGCATCAGCCCCCTGGAATACCTTAAGCCCATCTCCAAAGCCCCTTTGGCTATATAGCATAACATACGGGCTCCTGGGGTTAGGACATAGACATCTTTGTGGTGGGGGATGGGGTGAGAAGGGAAGTATTCTGTTCCATCTCTGAAAAAAACCATAAGCTGTTCTCATTACTGTAATGACCTTAACTTGGAAAATTTGTATCTTTTAACAGTAAGAATGGAAATAAATATAACTCTGTCCAGAAATCATTATTTATTAGTTCTAGAAAAAAAATTTCAAAAATAGGACCTTTGTCACTCCTCAGTTTTTTAATCTGCCTTCTTTTTCTTCATCGCATTTGTCACCATATGTCTGTGTGTCTTCCCCTCTGGAAAAGGGCTCTTGGAGAAGCAAGTGCTAATGTCATTCTTCTTTGTGTTTCTGGCACCCAGCATGGTGCCTGGCACACCTTTAGGTGCTTAATGAATGCAACAAATATATATACACTCATTGTTACATCCTCGAAAAATGGGGATAGGGAGAGTCAGTGATATTTGCTTAAAGGGGTTTCTCTATTAATAATGTCAACAAAAAGTTTAAAAATCCCTTGTGTTACTCATAAGAACAGAGAGTAGAATGGGGGTGACCAGGAAGTGGGGGTTGGGAGAGTTGGGGAAATGTTTAAGGGTACAGTTCTGCGGCTAATAGATAAGTTCTGGAGATCTAATGCACACCGTAGTGAGTATAGTCCACAGTACTCTTAAAAACTGCAAAGTTGCTGAGAGAGTAGGTCTTAGTTGTTCTCATGGACAAACGGAAAAGAGAATTATGTGAAAGGGCACAGATGGCAGCTCATGCTAATGTGGTAATCCTACTGCAACAGATGAACGTATCAAACCAACACATCTGTACACTGTAAATTGACCCAATGTCGGATGTCAGTTACACGTCAATTTAAACTTGCCCAGAGTCATACAGCAAGACAGTAGCACAGCCAGGAGTAGAGCTAGGATCTGGACCCATGTCGTTTGTTGAGAAAGCCTGTGATATTCATATCTATACATGTTGGTGTGTTCTGTTGCCTTTGAAACATTCTCAGAGAAGCCAGCCTTGGACCCAGCCTCGAAAAATGAATAGATCAGCCAGGTAGCTGTTATAGGTGGAAGAAGATGACCATCTGAAAGGATGCTTCAGGTTCTAAAAGCAGCCTGGGCTGAGGCATAAAACCCTCCTATAGGAATGCAGGTTTGGGGGGGCAGGGTCCCCACCTTTTCCACAGGCAGCGCTTGAATGGAAATGCAAGGCAAGTTGTTCTATACACGCAGCCTGGGGAGGGGGCTGCCTATTACAGGATCTGCCTGCACCCACACTGATCCCTGCTCAGCCCTAGACTGCTTGGAGCAAGGGGGCCCCTAGATCCCGTCTGCCAACAGCTATTGGTTGTTTTCTGGGCCAGCTTAAAAAATTAGTCCCATTCCACAGACACTCCCTGATTTCTCCAAAGCCACCATATGCAGGTTTACCTATGTTCTTCCTGTACCTAGTCCTGCTTCTGGCACCATCTCTTAGAATAAGAAGCTGTTTAGCACCCCTGCTATGAAACTACACTTTTTATTTGCTCAAAATTTACCCCTGGTAACCTTTGGGCGAAGTCTTTTTGTTTCCTACCTTTCTAAGGCCCCTTGATCTTATTTGTGGAGCACAGGCATAGCTCTCTGTCGCCTGTGAAAACCTTCTGTTAGTTTGCCTTCGAAAAGAGACATTCCTTTGCTTTCCTCACGGTAATGGTCCTTCTGGGGGCTTATTGAAGTCTCCTGTAGCTTTGTAGGGATGAGGTGGTAGAAACGGAGGCGTTCCAGGTGATGACACCCCATTGTGGTTTGACGGAGCTTAGGAGGACAGAGGCAGGGTTTGTCATTTTTATTGCTGTTTTAGGGGAGGGGCGGATGCACCTGACTCGGGGGGACTTGTCTTGTGCCTGTTGGCTTATGGTACCCTTCCTGATCGTGTATGTCTCTGTGTTAGTCTCTTCTTTAGTTTGATTCTGCAGGCATTTAGAACCACGAGCTTAGAGCCTATCACTTTAAAAAAACCATTTATTTTTTTCCCAGTCAGTCGAGCGGCATTCTGAAACCTCCCTTGAGTTGTCATTAGGCCAGCACCTAATTACCTGAAGGAATGACCATGATCTGCAAATGGAAACATTTCTCTGCCCTCTTTCTTCCACATGATTTCTAAAAATGGGAAATATAGTTGGTCTCTGGGAATGCGCTTGCGCTCTCTCTCTCTCTCTCTTTTTTAAAAATTTCTTCATCTCCAGAAGGGCTCATTTAACCAAGCCATTTCCACATGTGTCCCTAAACATTCTTCAGGTCCCCTAGGGCCTCTTTTTGTAAAAAATAACCTTTGTTATGGGAAACATTAGGAAATTAAATAGTGCTTGCTGATTTCCCTCCCTTGGCTTGTCCTCGTGCTCTCCATTCTCAGAGATCTCTGACCCATACTATCTCAGTCACAGGGGGAGCTCACATGCGCTGCAACGTAGAGCTTCTGGGAATTGTGGCTCATCGTGCATTTGGCTGTTGTCAGCCGCCTTAGAGTTGCCTCTCCCTGTAACGTTCCAGGGGTGACGACAAAGATGGCTGTACCTCCCAAGCGGTCCCTACTTCCAGAGCTTGTCACCTAACAACACAGAATGCCAGCAGTGGCCTCCCATGGCCGTGGTTAGTCTGCCCTTGAATAGTAATATTTGCACACAGCAGATGGCCCAAGCCTCAAATGAATGTTCAATATTGTAAGTCATTTTGCAAATTAAATGACAGGGATGTTTGAGTTGGAAAGGGACAAGAGGAGTAACCACTCGAGGGCAGCTGAAATAACAGAAGTGCGTGGTTGCCTGGCTGGCAGAGTTGGTTTATTGCCCGACTCTTGGTTTCGGCTCCAGTCCTGATCTCAGGGTCATGAGGTCAAGCCCCATGTCAGGCTCCATGCTCAGCATGAAGTCTGCTTGAGATTCTCTCCCTCCCCCTCCCTGTGCCCCTCCCACTCATGTGCTCTCTCTTTCTCGCTCTCAAATAAATAAATAACCTTTAAAATAATAGAAATAGTTATGGCCCCATTTCCCTTGCTTGCTGCCCCCATCATCCTAAGGCTGCCAGGGCAACAGGTCACTGACCCAGCTGGAAGGCAGTGTAGATGCCTCCGTTAAGGACGACCACGAGCCCGGGGCTGATCCGTCAGGGAACAGTCAAGCGTGACTTTCCCAGGCCAGCTTTGGGGAGACTTGGGAAGTTGGTTTTATGGAGGCTTTCTTCAATATTCCCTATAGATCAGTTTCAGCCCATTAGGATCAACACTATGTTAGCGTAATCAATCTGCTAAAAGGCACTTGGAGAAAATTACAGTAAGAATGCCAAAAGAAATTTTGTACCACACTGAGTTGATCTGCCCACAGACATAAACAGGCCTTTTTACTTCGAGGGTTGATATGTCTGCCTTTTGGATTTATTCAGTTTCTTTCAAGGTATTACCTCCTAGTATATCTGAAACTTCGGTGATATAGGGTGTTTGACTCTGAGCTCAGAATCTCTAAAAGTTATTGGTTGGTAAAGAAGCTTCCCCTCCTCCCAATATACACACACCCAATTTCAATCCCTTTTCTGCAACTAAGCATCTGTTTTCTTGTTCGTTCTTAGGACGGTCCAGATTCTGCCAGAGGAAACCGGACAAAGCAGGAGAGTGCATGGCTCTTCAGGCTGTGGTATAGCTTTGACCACAAGTATCCTTTTCAGTGGCTTCCCTGTATTTGTGAAACACCAATGATGAAGTTCTCTTGTTGTCCGTGAATGAATTCTGATGAGTAAGGAAGATGTGTGCTTGGTACAGGTATAGTCAGTCGTCTCTTGGGCCAGAGGCAATGATCATTCAATCACAGGTAGTCCTGGCGAGCAGCACTCTGGCCAAGAGGAATGTTTTATGTCATTAGGGTGGCTAACCCACAGGCCGGTAGACTCATGTGGCTCTTAAGAACATTATGTCTGAGGGAAATAAGCCTGTGTAAGTGAATTAGTTAAATTTACACAGTGAACCAGGCTGTGGTCAGGAAGGGCAGTAGAACTTGGACAGTTAATCCATGTGGGGAAGAGAATTCCTATTGGCTGATTGGAAGACAAGTCTGAGCCATGTCTCAGCTGGACCACTTGCAGGGCAGACTCTTCTAGTAGATTCACCTGCTCTCCAGTGGAAATTAAAAATCCAGAAGTTAAACCTCCATAATTTAAGCTGACATAGCGATCAAACGGATAGGCAGTACAAAGTCGGGAAACTTTGAAAGTGTTAAAAAAATTTTTGAAGTCTTAAGATCCATATAGAAAAGTATACAAATCTTGGGTGCTCGATGAATTTCACAAAATAAACACTGAACACCAAGAAGGTAAAAAACCAAAGTCTTCAGTTCCCCACATGCTATAACCCAATTACCAACCCTTCTCTCTAGATGTAATCACACTCCTGACCTCTAGTAACACTTAATAGTTTTATCTGTTTTTTGAACTTTGTATGAATGAGACTACAGAATATATATATTTTAGCGTCTGGTTTATTTGGCTTGACATCTTTTGTGCGACTCTTCTATGTTGTCACATGTAGCTCGAGTTCATCTCTTTTCATTGCTATATAGAATCTGGCTGTGTGAATATACCGTCATTTATTTATCATTGATTATTGATGAACATGTAGATTGTTTCTAATTTGGAGCTAGTATGAAAAATACTGTTATGAACATTTTTGTATATGTCTTTTGGTACAATCTGTACATACATTTTTGCTGGGAATATATCCAGGAGTGAAATTGCTGGGTCATAGGACATGCATAGGTTCAACTTTAGGAGTTAGTGCCAAACAGTTTTACAAAAACGGTGGTACCACTTTACATACTCTCCTTTCGTGTATGACTGTTCTAGTTGCTCTGTGTCCTCACTGACTATTGGAGTTGTGAATTGTAGCCATTCTGTTGGGTTTGTGGTGGTGGTGTATTGTGGTTTTAATTTGCATTTATCTGATGACTAATAAGGTTGAGCATCTTTCCATATATTTATTGGCCATTGGTGTGTTCCTTTATGAAGTACCTGTTCAAGTCTCTTGCCCATTTTTCTATTGGGTTGTCTGTCTTTCTCTTACTGTTTTTAAGTATTCATTAGGTATTCTGGGTAGGAGTATTTTGCTAATTATATATGATCAAAATATCATCTCTCCTTGTGACATGCCTTTTCACTTTTTTTTTTTTTAGTTTCAACATAATTTGCTACAGGGTTTTTTTCCAACATAATTTACTACAGGATTTTTTTTTGCCTTTTCACTTTTAAATAGAATCTTTTGATAAACAAAAGGTCTTAACCCAATTTATTGATCTTTTCTGATCAGTAGTTTTTATGTCTTCTTATAAAGATCTTTGTCTACCCCAAATTCATGAAGCCAGTTCCTGTTTATCTTCTAGAAACTTTATTGTTTATCTTCTGTACATCTATTATTTTTTTACTGAGTGATGGACATGTGCAATGAAAAAGTGTAGAGATCATTGATATGTTCTGGATGAGGCTTTTGTCCTTCAGAGCAGATTACCTTACATCTGATCAGTGACTAGGCACTAGGGGCATTAGCAATTTCAGATCACCATAACCCAATCAGAAATAAAGGTAACTTAAAGATGGGAGTCAGTTCCTGTGATGATTAGTCTGTTTTCTGCTGGTCTTATTTTCTAGGGTTCTAACATAGAGCCTAAGGTGTTGACATAGCCTTCCTCAGAAGGACGGCACTCCAGTTTTCATCACATTCAGTCTGTCTTTGTGGGTCTGCCACATGCTCTGCTCAACTTCTCAGGTACCTTTTGGGGAACTATGGCTCACCAAGTGCCAGGCTCACCTCTTGGGTTTCTTCCTCCAGATTCTGGCCCTTTTTGCTGCCATGGCATCTTGTGCCATTAAGCAGACGATTTTGTTGTGTTTTACTTTGCTCAGCTTTTCTAGCTGTTCTCAGTGGAAATGATGGTTCAAATTACTTCATTTGCTATTAACTGAAATAGAACCCCCAGGGATTTTTAAAAGCCATATGTACTTTGTATACATTGTCATTCGAATGTATGTTATGCCCTGGGCTTGGAAAGGACGTGGAGAAAATTGGAGGGAGTTCACCGAAGAGAGGCAAAATGCTAGTGATAAGAAGTTGATTCTTATGGGCATTCAGTACTCCACTCTGAACAATCTATCCATTGTTGATAGATTGTTCAGACACAAGATCAATAAGGAAACATTGGACTTGAACTACATTTTAGACCAAATGGACCTAAAAGATCTGTAGAACATTCCATCCGACAGCAGAATACACATTCTTCCCAAGTACACATGGAACAGTCCCAGGAAAGATCATATGTTAGGTGACAAAACACGTCTTAGCAAATTTAAGAAGACTGAAATTACATCAAGGATCTTTTCCAGCCACAGTGGTACGAAGCTAGGGAAACTGGAAAGTTCACAAATGTGTCGACAATAAACAGTACACTTCTGAATGATCAGTGGACCAATGAAGAAATTGAAAGGGAAATCAGAAAATATCTTGAGACAAATAAAAATGGAAAAACAGCATTCCAAAACTTACGGCATGCAGTAAAAGCAGTTCTAAGAAGGGATATAGTGATAAATGCCTCCATTAAGAAGAGAGAAAGATCTCAAATGAACAACGTAACTTTATACCTCAAGGAACTAGAAAAAGAACAAACGAAGCCAAAAGTTAGAAGGAGGAGGGAAAAAACATACATCAGAGCAGAAATAAAATAGAGTCTAGAAAAACAATAGAAAAGATCAATAAAACTGAGAGTTGTTTTATTTTTTTTTATTTTTTTTTTAAAGATTTTATTTATTTATTTGATAGAGAGATCACAAGCAGGCAGAGAGGCAGGCAGAGAGAGAGGAGGAAGCAGGCTCCCTGCTGAGCAGAGAGCCCGATGCGGGGCTCGATCCCAGGACTCCGAGATCATGACCTGAGCCGAAGGCAGCGGCTTAACCCACTGAGCCACCCAGGCGCCCCGAGAGTTGTTTTATTGAAAAGATAAAAAAAATTGACAAACCTTTAGTTAGAGTAAGAAAAAAAGAGAGGACTGAGATAAATAAAATCAGAAATGGGAAAGGAGACATTACAAATGATACCACGTAAATACAAAGGGTCATAAGAGACTGCTATGAACAATTATACACTAAAAATTGGATAACTTAGAAAAAAATGGATAAATTTGTAGAAACATGCAACTTACCAAGACTAAATGAAGAAGAAATAGAAAATCTGAATAGACCAGTAACAACAAGATACTGAATCATTAATCAAAAAACTCCCAACAAAGAAAATCCCAGGACTGAATGGCCTCACTGATGAATTCCACCCAACATTTAAAGAATTAATACCTTCTCAAACTCTTTCAAAAAATTGAAGAGGCAGGAATGCTCCTAGACTCATTTTATGAGGCCTGCATTACCCTGATATCAAAGTCCAAGGACACTACAAGAAAAGAAATTTACAAGCCAGTATCCCTGATGAGCATAGATGTAAAAAATCTCAACAAAATATTAACAAACAGAATCCAGTGGCGTATTAAAAGGATCATACACCATGATCAAGTGGGATTGATCCCTCAAATGTAACAGTGGTCCAAATCAATAAATGTGATATACACCACATTAACAAAGTAAAAATTATGTGATCATCTCAACAGATACAGAAAAAGCAAAGCAATTTTTTAGGGGGGAGATAGGGGCAGAGGGAGAGGAGAGATTCTCAAGTAGATTCCCTGCTGAGTGTGGAGCCTGACATGGGTCTTGATCTCAGGAGTCATAAAATTATGATCTGAGCTGAAACCAAGAGTCAGACGCTTAACCTACTGAGCCACCCAGGCACCTCTAAAGATGACATGACCTTATATATAGAAACCCCTAAAGACTCCACCAAAAACTCTTTGAAAACTAATAAACTCGGTAAAGTCAGAGGATATAAAGTCAACATACAAAAACCTGTTGCATTTCCATATATTAACAAAGAACTTTCCAAAACAGATATTAAGCAAACAATCCCACGGCACCTGGGTGGCTCAGTGGGTTAAGCGTCTGCCTTCAGCTCTGGTCATGATCCCAAGGTCCTGGGATTGAACCCTGCGTCAGGCTCCCTGCTCCGAGGGAAGTCTGCTTCTTCCTTTCCCTCTGCCTCCTCCCCTACTGCTCATGCTCTCTCTCTCTCTCTCTCTCTCTCTAATAAATAAAATCTTAAAAAAAAGAAAACAATCCCATTATGATACCATCAAAAACAATCAAATACTTAGGAATAAATGTAGCCAATTAGGTGAAGATTTATACACTGAAAACTAAAAAACACTGATGAAAGAAGTTGAACACATACAAATAAATGGAAAGATATCTGTGTTCATAGATTGGAAGAATTAATATTGTTGAAATTCCCATATTACCTAAAGCAATCTACAGATTCAGTGCATCTCTACCAAAATTCTAATGGTGGGTTTTTTAAAAAGATTTTATTTATTTATTTGAGAGAGAGAAAGAGAGCACCCACAATGGGGGGGAACAGCAGGGAGAGGGAGAGGGAGAGGGAGAAGCAGGCTCACAGAGCAGGGAGCCCAATGTGGGGCTCCAGCCCAGGGCCCTGGGATCATGACCTGTACTGAAGGCAGACACTTAATGACTGAGCCACCCAGGTGCCCCTAATGATTTTTTTTTAATTAAA